AGCACGACCATAAACTTTCGGAGCTCCGTTCGGACTTCTTGGATCTGCGCTGGGCCCCCTTGGCGGCGCCTCCGGCGTCGCCCCTGCCGCTCTCCGCGAGCCAGGGATGGCGGGCCAGCGCGGATCCAAGGAATCCGCGTGGACCGTCGAAATTTTATGTTTCTGCCGTTTCTGTTAACTTCTGTCGTTGGCTCGGTTGCAACTCCTAAGCGGTCGAATTCAGCATCGGCCTTGGTATATTCGTGGGCAGTCGAACACCGTCCTAGGCTGGCCTCATCCCGCTTAATCCGTCTCATGTTGAGCTTAAGATTGGTCTTGCTCCAGCGGAGTCAGACTGAATGTCTTTTCAGTCGGGTCGAATAGACCTTACAGTTCACCCGCATTGTAAGGATTAACATTTCCCAAGGTTGCACGTGCATCCTTTCCTTTCGGACCACTCTTGCCGTTTTCGGTGGCCGCGCCCTGCTCGCAAAGGGTCGGCACGGCCTTCCAAGGCTATTGCAGCCTTATCGTGATCCTGGTCATGGGGGGTGATTGTAATCGGTCTCACGGTGACCTCCCAGGAGATGCCGCCTGACCTTTGCGGGGGTCTGTTTCGATCTGGTTAATGCGAGTCGATACGTCGCTTCTGGCCAGCGTGATCCTATCCGAGTACGATATTCCTACGGCCCATTGCGGCCAGGTGTCTGCGTGGTGTTTTTGTGCAGCTTGGCGTGGCCGATATCAGATTCGAGTTCGACGCCGTGCCGATGCAGCCCGTTCCGACGCACATCCCCATTCGATCCAGTCTCCCAACTCGGGGCTGACCGATTCTGATTTGGTGGTGGGTCCGCCTTCAGGAAATCGAAGAAGAGACATCACTATACACATACATGTTTGGAGGTCCACGCAGATTTCTTACATCGGCGCTGGACCCCTTCCTGGCAGGGGCTGTGCCAGAACCGCCGCCGGGGGGGTCGGCACCGATCCGAGAAACCCGCGCGGAGCTCCTAAAGTAAATGCTTTATTATTCCTTTTTGTTTTCCATCTGGGGCAAGAGGTGGGGGGGAGACTTGCCAGACGGTCCGTGCAGCCCAGGGCAGCCCATCGTGTTCGGTTTGCCTCGTCAGGCCTCCGCCGAGGCCGCTGGAGCCCTCGGTGCTGCCTCTCCGCATCGGGCCCCGCACGCTGAAGGGCCCCTGCGGGCACCCGCTGGCAGGTTCGAGCACGTCTTCGGGTCATCGGCCTTCCTCCTGCCTCCCTCCCTCCCTCCCTCCCTCCTTCATCCTCCTCCTCCTCCTCCTCCTCCTCCTGCTCCTCCTCCTGCTCCTCCTCCTCCTCCTCCTCCTGCTCCACCCTCCTTCCCTCTCTCCTGCCCTCCCTCCTTTTCCCCGTGCCTCGGCCGCCTCCACCCCATCCACCCGCTCCACACTCCCCCCTTCTCCCCCCGCGGCGCACAGCACGAGGGTGCCCTTTGCGGGGTGCCGGGCCCGCTGTGAGACCCGTGGGCGGACAGAGAGCAGCAAAAAACGCAACGGGGACGGACAGGATGGGTGGGAGAGGTGGACGTCAGACGCTGCGCGGGTGCACCCAGCGTGTACCTTCCTCTCTCTCTTTCTCTCTGCTGCCATCTCCCCTTCCGTCCCTGCCTGGCCCGTGGGCTTCCCGCGCGCCTGCCTCGACCTGCGCGCGGGTCACCCATCTGGCCCTCTTTTGACGGTCGGCAAGCCGAAGGTCGGAGCCCGTGAAGCCACGAAAGAGAGATCGCCGACTCAGCGATGAGAAACCAGATCAAGCCGTGGACAGGAGCGGGCGGATCACGTTGGGCATCGAGAGAAGATGAGAACAGTGGCCCCTGCGCTTTGTGGGCCCCAGAAACGGCAGGGCCATTTCTTCACCGTTTCCAGAAAAATGTCCTTTGAAAATGGAAACGGCAACAAAAACGGCGACCAGAAACGGCAAAAAAACGGCTCCAGGATTGGAACCGGAGCCGGAACCGGTCCAAAAACGGCGACGGAACCGGTAAAAGACGGCGTCGGAGCCGGCAAGACGGAGCCGGTAACAAAAATGGCCCTGTCGTTTCCAGGGCCCACGACGCCCCTGCGTGGGCGGAGGAGCCAAAAGTCCCCCCGGCAGTGCGAGCAAGGGTGGCCCGGCCCTCCCTCTGCTGTCCCTCCGGGCTGCGGCCTGCCCCGCACAGGGGGGCCAAGGTCCCGAGGGGCAGCGCCCGCCACCCCCCGGCGGGGTGTGGGCACACGGCCAGGGGGTGGCCGCTGCCTCGCGGGGTACAGTGCCGTTCTTAACACATGCTCCGCGTGCGGATCATGTTTAAAAAAGAAAGGGATTTAGTTGGAGGGGGCGAACTGGGCCATCCAGGGGGTGGATGAACAAGTGGGCCGTTCATCGGGTGGATGGAAGCGCGGTGGTGCGAGAAATCACAGCTGGGATTGCGGATGGCTCGGCCGTCCACTTTCACCTCGTCCCTCAACCATCTTTGCTGGAATCAGCTCCTGCCAGCTAGACAGCCCTGGGCCCTCTCGACTGTCTCCACTTCTCTTGCGTATTTAATGGTCCCACTGGCTTTCGATCTCTTCTCCCTTCATGTTTTCTCAGTGTCCTCCACACCTGTACTGCTGCCCTTCTAGACGCGGTGCACTCGCCTCGACGTTGGGTTGTCAAAAAAAGGGGGAGGAGGAGGGGAGGAGGAGGAGAAGGAGGAGAAGGAGGAGGAGGGAGAGGTGATAATGGGATGAATGAGGGAGGAGGAGGAAAAGGAGGTTCATAAGGATGAGCATGGAGGACGATGAGGGAGGAGGGCGGGAGCAGGATTGCGGAGGATGATGGAGGAGGAAGGAGGGGGGGCGGAAGGATGAGGACATGTGAGGAGGAGGAGGAGGAGGAGGAGGAGGACGACGACGACGCGGGGCGAAAAGGGAGAAAAGGGACGACGAGGTGCGGGGCGAGAGGGCAGGAATGCTGGCGGGAGGGAGGGATGGAGGGAGGCATGGGAGCAGGAGAAGGGGAGGGAGAGGCGGGGTGGTTTGGGATCGGTGCAAGGGCGCCCTGGGTCGCGGGAGCCAAGGCGGCCAGGCGCGCGAGTACCCTTCCCCCGAGGCGCGGAACGCCTTTCCGAGGGAGCTCTGGGAAGGGGTTCCATGAGCCGGGTGGATGGCCCACTTGGGGCCTCGGAGCATCAGCCGGACGGATGGCCCACTTGGGGCCCTGGACCAGTGCAGGGGTACTGGGTGCCCCGGTGTGATGTTCCATGAGCCGGGTGGATGGCCCACTTGGGGCCTGGGGGCGGCGAGGGGGTTGCGCGCAGGGCGTGCGAGGGTCGGGGGCGTGCATGAGCCGGATGGATGGCCCACTTGGGGCCTCGGGGGGGGCGGCCTCCAGGAGCCGGGTGGATGGCCCACTTGGGGCCTCGGAGCATCAGCCGGACGGATGGCCCACTTGGGGCCTGCATTCGGCCTCCGCGGAACAGCGTTCGGGAAGGGCTGCGCGCCTTCCCGGAACAGCGTTCGGGAAGGGCTGGCGGCGGAGGGAATGGGGAGGGGTGGGAGCGGGAGAGCACGAGGTTGGAAGAAAGGGGCAAATGGAGGGAGGGAAGGGGAAGGGGACGGGGGAAGGCGAAATAGGACAGGGGAGCTGGGGGAAGGGAGGGGGAGGGGGGGGGGAGGGATGAGGGAGGCAGAGTGCGAGAGAAAATGGGCGCGGTTGGCAGATGTAAGTAGCGGGCTAGCATCAGTGAGGCGCTGAACGACACTGGTGTGGGACGCGGGGCGACGACGACGACGACGACGACGACGACGACGACGCGGGGCGAAAAGGGGAGTGAAGGGAGAAAAGGGGAGGTGGCGGCGGAGGGGGCAAGGGGCTGCGCGGTGGGCGGAGGCAGGGGGAGGGCCAGCACGGGAGCGTGCACGGGGCAGACCAGGCGAAGTGGCCACTTCGGCGCCACAGAAAGGGCGCGGCGGTCGACGGGCACACCTAGGACGAGAAGGAGAGAGGGTGGCAGAACAGCAATTCCAAGGCTGCCCCTCGCAGACAATTTGGCTTCACTCGTGCGGCCTGATCCCGCTTCGAGGTGTCTCCATGTCGACGCGGTAGCGGGCCGTGGGCCGAGGCGACCGAACTGCTCCGAACGCTGGGCGGAAAGGCGTTCCAGAAATCTTGGAACGCCTCCCCGAAAGCCGTTCCATGCACCCTTTCGACGGCCCACCTTCTGGATGGCCCTGTTCGCCCCGCCTAATTTAGTATGAAAGACAAGAATGAATGTATGCAGTGATTTATTCGTATAATTAATCATGTATTGAATCGGGCCTGTCCCCCTACAGGAGCCTGTCCCCCTACAGGGGGATATTCGACGAAAAGTTAACAATACCGTAAAAATACATCAAAAATAGTCCAAACATAATTCGGGAACTATTTTCTGGGTTTTGTTTCACCTCTTTGGGGTATTTTTGGGGTATTTTTTGTTTTTCGTTGAAGATCCCCCTGTAGGGGGACGCGCCCGACATAATACTAGCACCTATACGGAGATCGGCGGCGAGCTCGGGGGGGGGAGTGAGAAGGGGCGGTCGGGACCTTGGACGGGGGTCAATGTGCAAACGGGGGTCAGCAAGAGCGCTGGATCTTGCATGGTCCTGCAGAGCCAGGGGTGCATTGACCCCGGCTTGCGTGCAGGATCCTACAGGATCTTGCAGGATCTTGCAAGGCCTGACTGACCCGGGTGCGGATTGACTCGGGTCAGTAGTTCCCCGAGGCGGGCCTACTCAGAAGGCTCGGAATTCCCCAGGATTTTGAGAGGTTCTCTGAGACTTCTCCCCGAGGGCAAAGAAAGGCGACCAGAGGGCGCGAGGGCTTCTGAGAATGCCGCGCCACTCTGAGAAGCCCTCCTGCGCACTCACCTCCCCCCCGTCGCTTCCGTATAGCCACTTTGGCTCAAGCTCGCCCTCGACGTCTTTGTGGCCCCTGCGCTCGCGGGATCCCGCCTGTGCAGCGCCCCCGAGCCGCTCGCCATGGCCCCGGCGCCGCGCGCCCTCGCCCTCCTCGCCCTGGCGGCCGCGCCGCGGGCGGCCGCGCTCCTGCGGGCCCCGGGCGCCGCGCCCGGCGCGCCCGCCCAGAACGGCAGCCTCCAGGGCCTGCTCGAGGGCCTGCAGCACGCCGCGCAGGGCTCGGGCGACCCGGGCGTCCAGAAGCTGTTCGAGCTCGTGCCCGGCCTCGAGGGCGCGCTCCAGGGGCCGGACGCGGGCTGGGGCGCCCTCCTCGCCCTGGCGGACGCGCCCTGGGCGGCCAAGCTCCATGCCGAGGGCGCGGACGGCGCGGACGGCCGCGAGCTCCACGCGGGTCCGTCGAGAGACGCGGACGGCCACGAGGAGGTGGACCTCGGAGACGGGCTGGTCCTCACGCGCCTCGAGCCAGGGGACAACAGGACCTCCCCCGTGGACGGCGACCAGGTCTCCCTGGAGTACGCCGCCTACTCGAACTTCGGGACCCCCGTCGCCCTGGAGCGCGACGACGACATCGTCTCGCTGGAGTTCGACAAGCGCGCCTTCGAGCCTCTGAACTTCACGCTGGGGGACCAGGCCGCCATCCCGGGGCTCGCCCGGGCGGCGAGGCGCATGACCCTCGGGGAGCGCGCGCCCGTCTCGCTGCCGGAGCCGCTCCTCTACCCCGTCGCGCCCACCGGGGAGTTCCCTCCGGACGACGTGCTGCTCTTCCACGTGACCCTGCGCCGGGTCGGCTCCACGGAGGCCCCCCGGGCTGGCGGCGCCGCCCCGTGAGCTCCGCCCGGGCCTGCCGGAGTCCGGGGCGCCCGCACGCCTGGCGCCGGTGGGCCCGCCAGCTCCTCCCCCGCCCCTCCCGCGCAGCGCTTCGGACCCGCGCCGGCGGCCCGCGCGGCGGGGGGCCCGCGCCCCAGGTGGCGCGCCGCCACGTAGGCCACAGGTCGAGCGGTCCGGGGGGCGGGCGGCTCGAGAACCAAGAGAAGAGAGAAGAAAAAACAATTAGCCTGGCGAAGAACCCAACCATATGCAGTTGTCAGTACCGCAGCTGCGGGTTTCATCTTCAGTGGAACTCCCCATGGGACCACGGAACGTGTGAGGGGTGTGCCGAGATGGGTGCCACTGGGGCATTCGGTGAAGCTCCCTATGGGTCCCCGAAACATGATGCTGCTGCGGGGGGGGCCGGGATGGGTGGCGGAGACGCATGTAAGCGTCGCTACAGGGGCCTTCGGTGGAGCTCCCTATGAAGCCACGAAGCGCGTGAGGGGTGTACTGGGATGTGTGGCGGGGGCGCATGTGAGCGCCGCCACTGGGGCCTTCGGTGCAGCTCCCTATGGGGCCACGAAGCGTGTGAGGGGTGTGCCGAGTTGGGTGCGGGTGGTGACGCATGCGGGCGGTGCCACTGGGGCCTTCGGTGGAGCTCCCTATGGGGCCACGAAACCTGTTGTTGTGAGGGGCGTGCCGGGATGGGTGGCGGGGACGCATGTGAGCGCGGCCGCTGGGGCCTTCGGTGGAGCTCCCTATGGGGCCACGAAACGTGTGCGGGGTGTGCCGAATTGGGTGGGTGGGGGTGATGCATGTGAGCGCCGCCACTGGGGCCTGCGGTGGATGATGGGGCCACGAAACCTGTGAGGGATGTGCCGAAATTGGTGTGCGGGACGCATGCGCATGTGAGCGCCGCCACTGGGGCCTTCGGTGGAGCTCCCTATGGGGCCACGAAACGTGTGAGGGGTGTGCCGAATTGGGTGTGCGTGGCCGCATGCGGGCGGCAGCACTGGGGCCTTCGGTGGAGCTCCCTATGGGACCACGAAACGTGTGAGGGGTGTGCCGAATTGGGTGTGCGTGACGCATGCGGGCGGCAGCACTGGGGCCTTCGGTGGAGCTCCCTATGGGGCCACGAAACGTGTGAGGGGTGTGCCGAATTGGGTGTGCGTGACGCATGCGGGCGGCAGCACTGGGGCCTTCGGTGGAGCTCCCTATGGGGCCACGAAACGTGTGAGGGGTGTGCCGAATTGGGTGTGCGGTGACGCATGCGGGCGGCAGCACTGGGGCCTTCGGTGGGGCTCCCTATGGGGCCACGAAACGTGTGAGGGGTGTGCCGAATTGGGTGTGCGGGACGCATGCGGGCGGCAGCACTGGGGCCTTCGGTGGAGCTCCCTATGGGGCCACGAAACGTGTGAGGGGTGTGCCAATGGGGGTGTGACGCATGCGGGCGAGCACTTTCGGGAGCTGTGGGGCCACGGTGACGCTGCGGGCGGCAGCACTGGGCCTTCGGTGGGAGCTCCTTTGGGGTGCCACGTGACGGGCAGGGGTGTGCCGAAACGCATGGGTGGGGCCTTCGGTGGAGGGGGCCACGAAACGTGTGAGGGGTGTGCCGAATTGGGTGTGCACGCATGCGGGCGGCAGCACTGGGGCCTTCGGTGGGGCTCCCTATGGGGCCACGAAACGTGTGAGGGGTGTGCCGAATTGGGTGTGCGGGACGCATGCGGGCGGCAGCACTGGGGCCTTCGGTGGGGCTCCCTATGGGGCCACGAAACGTGTGAGGGGTGTGCCGAATTGGGTGTGCGTGACGCATGCGGGCGGCAGCACTGGGGCCTTCGGTGGAGCTCCCTATGGGGCCACGAAACGTGTGAGGGGTGTGCGAATTGGGTGGCGTGACGCATGCGGGCGGCAGCACTGGGGCCTTCGGTGGAGCTCCCTATGGGGCCACGAAACGTGTGCGGGGTGTGCCGAATTGGGTGTGCGTGATGCATGCGGGCGGCAGCACTGGGGCCTTCGGTGGAGCTCCCTATGGGGCCACGAAACGTGTGAGGGGTGTACCGAATTGGGTGTGCGTGATGCATGCGGGCGGCAGCACTGGGGCCTTCGGTGGAGCTCCCTACGGGGCAACGAAACGTGTGAAGGGTGTGCCGAATTGGGTGTGCGTGACGCATGCGGGCGGCAGCACTGGGGCCTTCGGCGGAGCTCCCTATGGGGCCACGAAGCGCTCTACTGGGTGTGCGGGACGCATGCGGACGGTGGAGAGGAGGAGGGGGCAGAGGAGGAGGAGGGGAGAACGCGGGGACCGTTTCTTCAAAACGAGGAACCAACACCACAGGATAGTTGGGAAACAATCGAAAAATGTACCTCCCCCCCCGTCGCTCGCCGCCAAGGATAGCTCCTCCCCCTCCCCCCGCTCCTGCCTCCTCTGCCAGCCCCTTCTCCATCGTCGCGCGCGCGCGCCTCTGCCCACCAGGTGCTCGTCCACCGCTGGCCCTACGTCTTCGCGGTGGCGAGCCGGGAGCGGTCGCAGTTTCCACGCCGCCGCGGCGTGGAGAGTGAGTGCGGGAGGGAGGGAGGCAGGGAGGAAGGAATGGTCACGGCAGTGTAAAGTCGGGCCTGTCCTCTGACAGGGTTTTTTCGACGAAAAATGAAAAATACCCCCAACAATAGTCAAACAAAGAGTCCAACATTGGTCTGGGGACTAGTTTTGGAATATTTTGGTTGGCTTCTCCGGGGTATTTAAGAAGAAACAATCCGTCGAACATCCCCCTGTAGGGGGACACGCCCGACATAACGGTAGTGGTGGTGGTTATCAGGGAAGGCGAAGTTACCCCTACCTTTGCCCGCGCCTCGTTTCGCCTCCGCGGGCCTCCCGGGGCGCCCTCGTCGCCACCGCTGGCTTCGCCTCGACGTTCTGGCCACCGTGCACCCAGGCACAGGTCCGGGGAGTAGCGGTATCGATACCTTTTGGTATCCCCAGGTTTGCGTGGTGATGTTGATGATGATGATGGTGATGCTGCTGCTGATGATGATGATGATGATGATGATGATGATGATGACGATGATGATGATGATGATGATGATGATGGTGGTGCTGTTGATGATGAAGATGGTGATGATGCTGATGATGATGATGCTGATGATGCTGATGCTGATGATAAGGCTGATGGTGCTGTTGATGTTGATTGTGACGACGATGGCGATGCTGACGATGTTGATGATGCCACTGGTCACATATTGATGATGATCTGGATGCTGATGCTGATGATGATGTTTATGATGGTCGCGGTTATGCTGTATGTGATGATACTGATGCTGATGCTCATGATGCTGATACTGAAGATGTCGATGGTGATGCTGCTGATGATGCTGATGGTGGCACTGATATTGATGTTGATGTTGTTTTTGATTTTGATGACGGTGATGATGATGACGCTGGCGCTGACGATGACGATGATGATGCTGGTGATGATTGTGATGATCGCTGTAGTGGTGATGGTGAGGATGATGGTGATGCTGGCGATGCTGCTGATGATGCTGATGATGCTGAGGACGACGACAACGCTGATGCATAGGATGCTTACGAAATTATGATGGTGAAACTGATTATTATGATAATGATGATGCTGGTGCTGATGATCATGCTGTAGCAGGAGGAAGAGGAGGAGAAACAGGAGGAGGTGGAGGAGGTGAAGGAGGAGAAGGAGGAGTGAGGAGCGAGGAGGGCGTGGAGAATGAGAGTCGTATGTGAGATGTTGATGCGTTCGAGGATGCTCTGGGAGCGTCAGGGGTGGTCCGACTTGGCCTGCCCCAGATCCCTTCTCCCTCCCCCCGACATGCTCCCATCATTCCCCATCACCCCCAGCTACTTTCTCCTTCCCTCCTGGGCTTTGGCAGGGCCCTGGGGCATTTTGTCGTGGCGCTGGGGCGAGGGGTAGGCAGGCGGACGCGCCAGGAGGGGCCGACGAGGAGCAGGAACAGCATGGGGCACGATGGCCGGGGCGAGATGGTGCTTCGTGGTGTTGGGGAGGGGCGCTGCAGTCAGCCCGCTGAGTAAGGATGGGCAACCTTGCCAGGGGTCCCCTTTCATCCTTGCCTCCTCAGTTCATCCTTGGCCGCTTTCGCTGGCCGCGCCCCGCCCGCGAAGTGTCGACATGGCCTTCCAAGGCTCTTGCATCCTTATCGTGCGTCCCTCTGATACGGGTTCACAGTCTGTGATCGTTTTCTTATTGCGAAGGCCTTACGGCCGGTGCCGCCGACCCTGGAGGGCGACCCATGCGTTCTCTAATGTGGCGTGGGGGGCCTCTTGGGGGTATCTTTGGGTCTCGTGTGGGGGGGGGGTTGTGTTGGGGCTCGTCGGGCCCCCCGTCTGGGCACCCTGTTGGAGCCGTTTGGGGAGCCTCTGGGGCCATCTTGGAGGCATCTTGGGCGGTCTTGAGGCTCTCTTGGGTCATTTTGGGGCTTTCTTGAGGCCTCTTGGGCTATCTTGGGGCAATCTTGGGTGCATCTGGGGCCGTCTTGGAGCGTCTGCAAGTTGAAACGGCGAGAACGCCAAAATCTGTCAAAAACTTTAAGGGAATCATTGATGTTTCCCTCTTCGTGCCCTCTTGGGAGTGCTCTTGGAGACTTCTTGGAGCGTCTTGGCAATCTTTTTGGCCGTCTGGAGGCTACTTTGGCGTCTTCGACCGGTGGTTCGGCGATTCGGGGCCCTCTGGAGCCGTCTTGGAAGCCTCTTGGGGCACTCTTGGCCAGTCTGGGGGCTTTTCTAGGTCCCGGGACATCCCGGGGGGGGGATGCGTATCTGCCCCCCCCCCTCCCGCGACACCCCCCCCTCCGGTGGGGAAGGGATCAAAGGGAAGGGGCTGCCCTTCGACTCAGCTACGACGTTGCTCAATTTCGCTTTGCCTTCGACTCAGCTACGACGTTGCTCGATTTCGCTTTGGTTTCGCTTTGGCTGGCGCGCCTGAGGGGAGGGCGACGACGACGACGACGACGACGACGAAAGGAAGAGCATCGACGACGACGACGACGGCGACGACGGCGACGACGACGACGGGGACGACGACGACGGCCGCGACGACGACGACGACGACGACGTTCACGACGAACGGAAAAGCATCTTCCACACGCCGACAGGGTCGGCGGATTCATTGTTTTGCCGATCGGCGCGGGCCCTCGCACCCCTTCCCCCCCCTGCATTAGATCTCAAGAATCTTGGCTGTTTTTGGCGCCTGTGTCAAGCAGGTGGAGTCTTCCACATACGACGCCCTGTTGCAAGCAGCCGCACTCAGCAGAGGTACGGAGCTAGACCCCCCCCCTTTCGCCCAATGTCGCAAACCCGCATAAGAAAACGTTCGCGTGGTGATGGGGGGCATTCTGAACATGGTATAATATACTGTATGGGCGAGAGGAGCAATTAGGAAGAGGAGGAGGAGCAGGTGATTTACTGTATGGGCGAGAGGGGCAATTAGGAGGAAGATGAGGAGCAGGTGAATTAGCATCATGAGCCGAGAAAGGGGAAGATGCCGATGGTGTCGGCATCCTGGGTGCCTCAGGTACACAGGGCGTGTCCTCTTCTGTCCGATGACACGAGTCTGTTGGATCCTGTTACGAAGGGGAACGGATAGGAGGATGAGGGAACTCAAGAGGGCCCTGAAATCTGGGAGCAGTGGAAATCCCGCTCCGCTTGACACCCTTGGCCCCCACAGATCGACCCGGCTCCAAGTCAACAACCGTCCAGGCTCGTTGCTGTCGAAACAGTTGGTGGCGGTTGTCTCTACCTCTTGTCGTTTACGATACGGCGTCGGAGCTGGGAGGAGAGAGCCACGTGGGGGAGATTTGGACGGAGTCGGACAGCTAGGACAATCAGACGTAAGTCTGAAGTTTTTGGTTGGATACGGTGCGTACTTAGGTGTCGCCACACGAGTTGGGCGCAGCCTCCGTTAAAGCGGGGGGCGTTGACGGGGGATAGTAAGGCCGACGTAGTCGTTGAACAATGGGGTCTATAATCGCTGGGCGTCGAGGGGAACCGTACGTATTGTGGTACAGTGCGATCGTCCGAGTTAGGTGTGAGTTGCGGGCGCTCGCGCTTCTTTCCCAAGCCACGTGCGAGCCAAAACCGCAGGTTTGTCACTCTTGACATCATGTCATGCCTTGCGTAAGCACACACACACAGCTGGCGCACATGCTTCGAGCCTGGCCTGAGCATGACGCTTCTTCCTCTTGTGTCTGTATTCGCGAGTGAGGCCAGGGAGGGTTATGGCTTGTATCGTGGTGGAGCATGGTCAGCCTGGATGGTAACAGTCTACCGTTGCAATGGCCTGCGTGGCAGTGCATAGTTTGATGGTGTATCGAAGGGAGGAAAGCGAGAGAGGGCCATGAGACAGAGATATTCGTGGGGGTGAGGGTAGCGATAAAGATGAGGCAATCACCAATGGGGAAGGGAAATGGTGGGAGGGAGGCAAGGATAGCTGGCGGCAGGCTGGGAGAGAGAACAATCGGAGTGAGACAGCGGGATGACGAGAGAGAGAGAGAGAGAGAGACAGAGAGATACAGAGAGAGCGCGCGTATGAGACACTCGCAACCACAAACATAGACACTCTCACACAGACACACACACACACACACGTACCCGAAACCACCGACACGCAACACACAACAGCACACAGACGCACAACACACAGCCCACAACACACAACACACAACTCACACCACAGCACTCAGCAAACATCAAACACCACACAACACCCGCCACGCATCACAGCACACAACACGCAATCCACAACACGCAACACACAACATACACGACGACAGCGTCACAGCACACGTCACACCAGCACACATCACGCACCACACAACATACAGCAGTCAACACACAACACATGACACACACATATCACACACTACAGCAGACAAACAGGGAACACGCAACAAACACCACAGCCCATACCACACAACACCCAGCTCACACCACGCAGCACATAGTTCACAACACGCAAGTCACACGACACAGCACACACCACACACCCCACAACACAACTCTCACACACGCACACACACACACGTTACTGACCACACACCAAACAGAGCACACCACACATCAGACAACACACAGCAACCACTACACAAAACAACACGCAACGTACAGCACACATCACGCAATACATAACACACCACACAACACACCACACAACACACCATACAGCACACAACACAATACACAACACACGCACACTACTCAACACAGCACACAGCACACACCACACACCACACAACACACAACACACAACACTCAACTCAACCCACATCACACAGCAGACAGCACATACCAGACAGCGCACGCCACAACCCACACACACACACCACGCACACCACACACACCACACACAACACACAACACACAGCGCGCACAACACACACACACACACACACTCCGCACTCCACACCCCACACCCCGCACCCCACACCTCACACCCCACACCCCACACTCAAAACCCCACACATCACACCCCACACCCCACACTCCACACTCTACACCCAACACCTCACACGCCACATCCCACACATAACACCCCACAACCCACACATCAGACACCACACACACGCCACACACCATATCCCAACACCACACACCACGCACCTCACCAGACACCACACACCACACACCACACACCATATTACACAGCTCAATTCAGACCACACCCACACACCCACAAACACACACACACACCCACGCACCCACGCACGCTCCACGCACACCAGTTTTGGCGGTCGCGGCTTCGCGCGCGGCGTCGAGGTGGATAAAGTCAAGTGCAGCGGCCGGGGCCACGCGCGCGCCGCGCTCAGAAAGGGGGGCAGCGCCATACCCCTGGCGAGGATGGCAGGGAGAAATGGAGGACGAGGCGACTACCGGCGAGGGGAGGGACCCGCACGGCCAGGGAAGTAGGCGAAGCTGCGGCGCGACAGGCCGCACGACCGGGGACGATCGACCAGCGCGCACTCAGCGAGTGAACGGGTGACAGGCGAAACGTCGAAGCGCGACGCGGAATGAGATGGCAAAATGCCGTGAAGGACGCTTAGCGTCTGACACACGCACACAGACACACAAACACACAGCACACACGCACCACACACACAACGCACACAGCGCACACAACGTACACAACAAACAACACATAACACATACACTCAACACACAGCACGCACGCACACACGTACACGTACACGCAAACGCACGCGCACATTTTTTTCGGTCGTCCGCGGGTGGGCGCAGGCGCCGCAGCCTCCGACTCCCCGCGCGCCTTGGAGTCGCGCGGGCTTCGCAGCCATGGGGCAGCAACCGGGCCGGCGGGGGCCGGGGCTCAAGCAGGGGCGAAGCGTCTTGGCGTGCCTACAGGCCTACCAAACAATGGTCGAAGAACCCTGTAAGGTTTCTACGGGATGTTTTAGAACATCTGTGGCTGGGACTGTCTTGTTTTGGTACATCGGCTCTCTGTTCTAAAAACATTGTCCTGTTCTTAGAGCACTGCTGGGTTCTAGGAGCATGTCGTGGTAGGCCTACAGGAATGCTGGGGCGGTCGGTCCCTGCTCAGGGGGCGGGGGGGGGGGGGCGGGCGCCGGGCGCGCCGGCGGGGCAGCAGCGGGCGAAGGGCGGCGGAGGCGGGTCGCGGAGAGCGGGCGGGCGTCGCAGCAGGGAACACGCCCAGGTGGGGCGGCCGAGCGGGGCTCGCAAGGGGGGGGGGGGCGGGGGCGCGAGCGAGGGCGCCGGGCGGCGGGGCGAGGCGCAGCGAACGCGCACGCGCACGCGTACGCGCCCACGCACAGGCACGCGCCCAGGCACACGCACGCGCACGCGCACGCGCACGCGCACACGCACGCGCACACGTGCGCGCACGCGCACGCGCACGCAACATGTTTTTTTTCCTGCGACGCGTCGGGGTCCAATCGGCGGAACGTTGCCATGGGGCACGCGCGTTCCTTTGTTCCCTCTGACGCGGCGCTTGGGTGCAATTGCCTAGGCGCAGTATTGCGTGAGAGAGAGAGAGGGAGTGAGAGATAGAGACACACACACACACACACACGCATTTCCCACACACGCACAAACATTCACACAGACACACGCATACACATTCAGGCAGAGACACACAGACACAGACATAGACACACAGACCCGGACACAGACACAGACACAGACACAGACGCAGACGCAGACACAGACACAGACACGCGCGCGCATGCCCCTGCCAGGACATCTTCGCCGAGGAGGAGCTCACCATAGACCACGGGGAGGCACCGCAAGCACCCTCTGCGTACGCATTTTTTCACACACCGGAAGATGGCCTGGTTGCCCACAGCTCAAACACGCACACAGCCGTACCCGCGCTTGTCCTCTGTCCTCTTCCGTCTCCTGTTTTTTGTTCTCCCGTTCTCCTTCTGCTTCCAGTTCCATGCGCATGGCGCTTGTACGTGCGCGCACAGCGTGCCTCCCTGCCCCTCTCCCCTTCCTCTCCTCCCACCCTTTCTTTTGAGGATGGCCAGGATGGACATCGGCGAGCCTCCCAGACGGCGAGGCGGAGGGGGAGGACGAGGACTATCTTGAGCCCAAGACGCAACCATGATGTCGCAGCGCAACCCTCTCCAAGTTCCCTATTTATAGGTTCCTTGAGTAAGTAGTTCTCGTTGCGGGAAGCGGCCCGTGTAAAAGCACACGTGTGAGCATCCCCGATACGGCATAAAGAACATTCTTGGGACTTCAGCGCCGCGAGCCCGTCTGACTGCTGCGCCCTGACAAACGTAACACGTGCCAGAGCACCGCTCTTCGGACTTTCTATCCCTACGCTTCGCTGAAACTGCTGCATTATCTTAAGACGGGTGCGCGCGGCGCTCCTGGCGAGAACCACGTATTAAAACAAGAGCGGGCCTTCGTCCATCATGTGGTTCAACACTGTCTAAGGCGAGCGTGCACGGTGCTAAGGCGAGAGTCACACATTGGAAACGAACTGTGTTCAGAATTGAGGCCATTGCAAATGTTCAAGCTTTGGAATCGTAAATGGCGAGGACATCTCAGGCGAAATGCCCAGCATGATCACGAGGGGGGGAAGTGTGAGGCGAAACGCCTCGCCTGGCCTAACGATACGTCTGGGGGTGCGACAGAGGAGTTGTGTATACGGAGAAGGAATGAAGCAGCGCCGTCGAAGGCCCGACTGGCCCGGCATAGCTTTCCGTTCTCGCTCGCCCTCTTCTTTTGGTATCAGTGTGGTTCACGCGCCCCAGCTCCGGCTCGGGGCCGCCATGAATCGAGTAACCAAGCACGGCGTACTTTTAGTTCTAGACGCTCCGCGTACCGCCACCAGCCCATCCAGAAACGATGCCCATGCGAGTTGCCCTGATCAGGCATGTCGAGGAGCACGCAGTGTAATGAAGGCCAGGAAACCGTCACACCCCAAGGGAGGATGGAGGAGGAACCGGAGGAGGAGGAGGAGGAGGAGGAGGAGGAGGCGGAGGAGGAGGAGGAGGGAGGAGGAAGGAGGAGAGTGGGGAGGAGGGAGAAAGGAGGAGGGATGAGGGGGAAGGGATAAGGGAGGAGGGAGAAGGGAGGAGGGAGAAGGGAGGAGAGAGGAGGAGGATTGGGCGAATGAAGAGAAGGAAGAGGAGGGCGAACAGAAAGGCCAGAGGCCTCTTGCATGCTTCTCGGAGTCTCTTCGGATGTCTCTTGAGAGCTTCTTGTGGGCTTGCTGGGGCGTCTTGGGGGCCTCTTGTCGGTTCCGGGGCTCTCTTGAAGCGTCTTGGGTGCCTCGGAGGAGCCTCTTCGGGCCTGTTCGAGTTCTCTTGGGATCCTCGTAAAGGCATTTGGGGGCATTTTGGGGGCCTCTTGAGGCCTCCTAGGCGCCTCTTGGGCTTCTCGGGGCACTTGTGGGAGCCCCCGGGGCCATCTTGGGCCCACCTTGCAGGAGACCGATCGACGAAGGGCAGGGTTCCAATTCGCGCCCTCGCCTCAGGAGGTCGAATTTTGCCCTAAACCATTTGGAAAATCCGTGATTTGGGCCTGCTCGCCGAGGCCAAAAAGGACCCTCCAACACCTCGCGTGGCGCCCCGCCCAGGTCCAGGGGGAGGGTGTAGTGGGAGGGGTCAAGACACCTTCGTCGTCGGCAAGCTGTCTCGCTTACTCACATCCGCCCTCCCAACACACAAGTAGCACCCGCGCCTCAGCATGTTCAGCGGTCGTCTTTGGATGGACATCCCATGTGCGCAACGCTGGGGCGAGGTGCGCCACGCGTACCAGGCACGCCACGCGCGTCTGGTGTGCCAGGCACCGCTGTGGCCCAAGAGTGCCAGGCAGGGCTGGTACGTCAGATGCTGGTAGCGTGCGATGTGTGCCGTCGATCCCGATCCTGCTCCATCCGCCTAGATCCTCCTGGATCCTCGGCCCCCGATCTTCCTCGAGCTTCGAACCTCGATCCCCCCCACAGATCCCAGACGTCATGATCTCCTCACGACGTGGACCCCTAGAGGTGTGTACCTGCCCTGGACTGATTTTCCATCCTGGGCCAATTTCGGACTTTCCCGTGGCTCGGTCAGGTCCTCAGAGGCGGACTATTGCTAAAACACCATTCGCAGTAATTTTCTTCACCGAGGGTATCTGGACCAAACCCTCCCCTCGTTGCGTGGACGCGGGCCTGGATCCGAACCTCCAGGTCGGTTTTGGGGGGTCGCCGCGGTGATCGCGGCGGCCACAGGTCGGGACAAGAGTTTTGTCAAGGAGTGGCATGCCCCTTCCAGGCCCCTTTGCTCTGCGATGTGGACGCGGCTCATGATCAACGATCCAGCGACACAGAGTTGCCAGTGCATGCTCAACGTGGGCAGCCATTTTGTTCGTGGGTCGGGGGCAGGGCTCGAGCCAAACGGTGTTTTTGGGCGATCTCGTGGACCGTTTTCGTTCTGATCTCGTCTTTTGCGGCAACGGCGGAAGGAAGACAGCACCAGGGGAACACGAGAACACAACGAACACGAAGAGCACTGCTCGGCTCGAGCCCTGGCTGGGGGCCGATGCTTCCGCGACCCTCCCCGCTCATCGCCCACCCGCGCCCGCCCCCGAGCCCTTTCTGCGCGGCGCGCCCCCCCCCCCCCCCCGCGCCTCTTCACCCGCGGTTCCGCAGGGCTACTGGGCCGCGCAGCGGGCCGCCCTGGCCCGCGTGCGCGAGGTTGGCAGGACCCCGGGTCGGGCCGGCGCGCCCCCGGTGCCGTTGCGGCCGGGGCTCAGGAGTCGGCAGGAACGAAGTGGGTACGGAAAGAAGGGGTACACGGCCCAACAGGTTGGCATCGCTCGGACGTGCGCATGTTTCCTTCGGCGAGGACCATCGAGGAGCATCCTTGATCATCTGGCGAAAATACCACGCACGAAAGCGAAACAAAACACAGGGAATGGACGTCCGAGCGATGGCCAGACAGCAGTTCTGGTTCATTTGGGACCCGACTCGCTGTCCGCGCCGCCGCGGCCTGTGTCCATTTGAGGCAGAAGGCCGCCTGCCCAACAGCGGCCGCTGTTGGTGGAGGAAAACATGTGTTGTTGGGCAGTGTACCCATATTTTTTCCGTACCCATTTCGGGCGTCCAAAAAGAGACGGGGGTCGGTGCAAACGGGGGTCCGCCAGGGCACCGGATCCTGCAGGATCCTGCGAAGATCCCTTTTGGCTGACCCGCGTTAGCGAGCCGCGCGTTTGGGAGTTGATGAGGCAGCGCCGATGATTGTAGCGTCGATTAGCGTCGATTTAGCGTCGATTAGCGCCGACTTATCGTAGATTAGTCCCGATTGAAAGTCGATTGGCGTCGATCCGCAAGAGCCAACAAGATGGTACGGGAGGCTCCCATGAGTTGCCACCGAAGATCGGGTGGGTGGGTTGGGGCGTATCGGCGATACGTCGGCGATGCGACTCGATCTGGAGCCCGATTTTCTCTACGCGGACTTGGCGATGCATCGACGATGTGGCGCGACCCTCCGATCACCATCTACTCGGAACAAATTGGGGAGGCCTCTAGTATGAGCCCTGGCCGGTCCGATTCGATTCGATTCTGATTTTCGGGCGGTCCGATTCGGCCCGACGCTCGCATGGCGCTGTTAGGAATGCTGGCCGCCGTCGATCCGATCCGATCCCGACTCCGAGCCGACGCGGTCCGGTTCGATACACGTGCCGATCCGATCCCATCTCCCGATCCGACGTTGCGCGCTCCTGCCTGAGGGGGAGCCGGCGAGGGGCGATATCGGCGGCTCTCAAATCTGCTGATTACAGTGAGCGGCTTGAGTAAGGGACACTTAATTTTCAAAAGGGGCTCGGTCGTTCCTCAAGGCTTGCATGCGTTACGTATCCTTCCTTATGCGCGTTTTTTTATATGTATCGTTCCTTATGCTTATTTCCCTGGAAAACCGGGGCTTCGTTCCTTATTTATCGTTCCTTAGGTCAGGCCGATGACTGTACGGCAGGTCCGTGTCGTCTGTCGCCCCGGCGCGGCAGCGACCCCGCCGGGGGGCGCTCCGGGCAGAGCGCTGGCTTGGCGTCGACCAGCCTCGGCGGGATGCGGAGATCGAGAGGCCGCCGATGCAGCAAGGGCGGAGAGATCCGCGCGGCGTCAGAGACCGGCGCTGGCGGAGCGTGCCTGCCCTGTGCCGTCAGAGTGGCCCTTCGCCAGAGCTTGGCACCGCTCGGACGTGTGCATTTTTCTTTCGGCGAGGACCATCGAGGAGCATCCTTGATCATTTCGCGAAAAAAACACGCACGAAACCGAAAAAAACACAGCGATGCCGTCAGAGTGGCCCTTCGCCAGAGCGGCCCAGGGTGCGGGCTCACAGGGGGGCCTCTTGCGGCATCGCCTACAGTCGGGGGCGGAAAAGAGGGGGGTGATGACTTGAGGGGAGGTGGATGTCGTGGCGGGGGTCATGATATTTCCGCAGGTTTCATGGCGCCTCTTCTTATTGCATTACGTCCCTGGCCCCCCCGCTGGGCGGCGCACATGCCGCCGGTCATGATTTGCACCCCCCCCCTCTTGGACACCCCCCTCTTGGCCGCTCCCGATACAGGCGTCGTGGTGTTATTGAAGCTGCCCCCATGCCACCGACCTCTGTCCGCGTCTAGTTCCCGATGTCGGTCAGGTCTGGGGCGGTCTGGCACGGCTCCGATTCCCTCTTTCGGCCTACGGGGCTTAAGCCGGATCCGCGATCCCCAAACGATCTGATTCCGATCCGACTCCGCGACGATTCGGGCGCGATCCGACCCGTTTCGGGTCCGATCCGATTTGGCGATTCGATCCAGCGCAGCTTTCGATCAAGTTTCCGAGCCTGAGGGAGCAGGCATATGCAGGTCGGTGCAGGGCCACGTGCTCTCGGGCCGCGGTTTTCTCTGCGGAGGCAGGGTGTACGTCTGCTAGGGTGCCGCGCGTTTTTTGTTGCTCTCCGATCCCCCCCGGCCCTGGCATGGGCCCGGCCTGCAGCACTTCATAACCGTGGCGCCTGGTTGCTTCGGGGGCGGAAAAGAGGGGGGTGATGACTGGGGGGGGGGATATCATGGCGGGGGCCATGATATTTCCCCAGATGCCATGGCGCCTCCTCTCGTTTCATTGCGTACCTGGCCCCCCCGCTGGGCCGCGCACGCGCCGCCGGTCATGATTTGCCCCTCCCCCTCTTGGACACCCCCCTCTGGGCCGCTCCCGGTTGCTGTCCAGACATTCCCGTGATCGTCTGTACCGGAGCGGACTTGCACCAACGAGGGATCCTATGGGCGGAGGCCTGCAGACGCCGCCCTCGCCCTCAGTGCGCCGTGCGGGGTTGCTCCGTCTGTGCGGCCGTGGGGCAGCGGGGGCCCAGGGCTCGCAGACCCGTCTTCGGGCCAGCTGGCAGGTCAAGGGTGCTGGCCAGAAGTCGGGAGTGGGGAACAAAAACACAGACATAATGAAGCGTCGACTCCCAGGACCATCTGGGGAATGATGCGATGGTCAGATGGGGAGGAGACGAGAAGCCAGAAATTATAGGAACACACAGTCAACCCGCATAGCAAGGATGGGCAATTTTCCCAAGGGCACCCTTGCATCCTTGCCTCCTGGGTCCATCCTTGGCCACTTTCGCTGGCCGCGCCCCGCTCGGGAAGCTTCGAAATGGGCGTCCAAGGCCCTTGCATCCCTGTCGCGCATCCTCACTATACTGGTTGACTGCATGGGTAATTCTGGACGTTGTGTTTATCTGTTCGAGTGTTCCCTGGGCCCCTTTCGTAACAAGGAGGGCCCCCCGACCCGCCTCGCCCGCCGCGGCACTGCCGCGGCCGCCGTGGCCCCAACAAGAACCTGGAGTTCCCCGGCTGTCCTTCGCGATTGGCCCGCCCGGCACTGCGCGGCCCCTCAGTCATGAGCCTCGAGACGGGGGTGAAGGCAAACGGGGGGTCAGCCAGAGCGCCCGATCTTGCAGGATCTTGCAGGGCCGGGGTCGCATTGGCCCGGGCTTGGGTGCAGGATCCTGCAGGATCTTGCAGGATGCTTCGCATTGACCCGGGTTCGGGTGCAGGATCTCGCAGGATCTTGCAGGATCCTGCAAAGCCTGACTGACCCGGGTCTGGATTGACCAGGGTCAGCAGATCCCCGACCCAGGCCCCGAGAGATCTCCGAGAGTCCATTGACGACATACATCGAAGAAGAGACGACGTCATATACATAAATTTTTGGCGCTCCGCGCGGACTTCTCGAATCCGCGCTAGCCCCCGAACGCCAAAAGTGTAGGTCCATGGCGTTTTTTTTTTATCTAATGCAGTGGAAATCCATGCCAAGAAGTTCCCTGCTTGCCTCCAGGGTGCCCTGGGTTCCTTGGGTGGCGATGATGGTTTCGCTGTGGACTGCGTGACGTTCCCACCAAAAATCCGTGGACGTCCTGGGGTCTCAGGGATGGGTTTCTTGCGGAGGGTTTCTTGCGGTCGAGCTCTTATTTTAATGCACATGCATGTAGAACACTCGAATTAATTGACAGACAACACTACCAGGAAGTGTCAGGGCGTCACGCCGACCAGGCGTCACGACGTCACGCCGTCCACATATATCAAGCACAGACATCAAGAGAAGACATGGCGACCATAATGTACGCAACAGCCTCCCGTAGCAGCCACGGCACCAAGAAGGGGCATCGAGAGCAGACACCAGCCACCAGGTTTCACTCGACCCAAAGCAGGCATGCATGAACATCAGACACGAATGACATACATGAACATCAGATGCCAATCACAGGCCAATGCCAGCACCCGGCGCATACTTACGCATGCCCGTCCGTCAACAGCGCACCTCAAGAACATATTTCGAGACCATCTGTTCATCATGAGCATGGAGAGGGAGAGCTACCACCAATACCATACAATCCATAGCGAACACCAATACCGAACATCAACCACACACATCCATACCACGCCCCAATGTTTTTTACACAAGTACTCTACACAATGCGCATACAGCAACCACATCTACCAGTCACACACGCTTGTAACTGACACTACACACATGATGACCACACGCCATTAGTATACAACCCGCATCACGGACATTCATCAAACATCCGAACCACGATCGCGAATGGAGAATCCACGTCGAGTATATGCACCAACATCACATCAGGCACACGAATCAACAACATACGTCAGTAACTAACGCGTATCACACACATCATTACCAGTCACGCTTACACCACGGCACCAATGACATGCACCGACGTCACATGCCAATAGCCTAAATCAATCAGATGCATGCATAGCGTGTGCACCAGGAACATGCATGAATATCCGGGACCGGTACCATACACCAACAATACACCACACTGAGAGGATACATCAAACAGAGGCATCACTCACGCCCAACGTAATCACTTCACTCACAGCCACGAGTAAGTGTCAACCATGCGCGTCGCATTGCATCCACCAACAGGACGACGCATGCATCATCAACAGGCCTCAGTGCAAAACCACAAATTTCATACACCAATGCTACTAGAAGTGCACCAGTAATGACCTGCATCAACAAACACACTATGTGCACACATCGTGATGTACTGCAGCTCCTTGGCGCTGATCGCTCGAAGCAACATCTGTTCCTTCCTGAGTTGTTCTTGCTCGGGCGCTTCTTGTAACGCCAAGCGCAACCGGATTCTCATCCCCTGCGACAGGTTCCCCGTGGCAAAATTCCGTTTGCTCTCTGAGCAATCAATTAGTGTCCTGAGCGCGCGGGTGCCCGCCAGGCGCTGATGAGGTCAGTCGATGGCAACGAGCACGACGACGACGACAACGACAACGACGACGACCACGACGACTGTAACCACGACGAAGACCTCGACCACGACGACACCCACGACCACTTTGACCGCGACGACGACGACGACCACGACGATGACGGCGACGATGACGACCACCACGACGACGACGATGACGACGTCGACGACGACGACGACGACGACGACCACGACGATGGCCCCGATGAGGACGACGACCACGACAACTCTGACGGCGACGACGTCGACTACGACGGTGGCGGCTGCGGCGGTGGCTGCGGCGACGATGCCGCCGCCCGCCGCCGCCGGCGCCCCCGTGCGCGAGGGCTCCGCCGTCCCGCCTTTCGAGCGTGCCCGTCTTTCTGGTCGGAGGGCGCCAGCTGTCCATAGAGTCGGGCCGAGGTAAAGTATCGAGGTCGGTTCGGGGAGGGTATCCTAGTGTTCTTCGTGCTTGCTGGATGCTCTCGTGCATCCTGGGGAAGGTACCCTTGGATGTTCTCTGCGCTTTGGCCGGCGGGGGGTCTCATTTTTGTTGAGGGATGTTCTTCTGGCCTAGGTCCGACCGTACCCGCGCTGGTCCCGGCCAGGGCTGATCCCAGGCCCAGGTTCGTTGCATATTCAGAGGACATACCGCGGCCATTTCTTCGTTTTCCCAATTCTTGGGCCTCCTAGGAGACCCTCGTCGCCACCGCTAGATTCGCCTCGAGAACGTTGTCAGAACGCACCCTGGGAGAGGTCCGTGGAGTAGCGGTCTCGGTAGATCTTGGTTTCCCCACATGCGCCGCAATGAAGGAGTTTGGTCCTGAGGGTTCTGCACGGTTTCGGGTTCTCGAGGCCCTCTACGGTCCCCGGGACCGTCAGAATGCGGCTCAGGATGAAGATATGGTCATGGGGGGAGGCCCCGGGGTCCCGGATCCGTTTCCCTCGAGACCCGTTTCGTTCATGCCAACATGCGCCTTCCTGGCCTGGTCGGGGGCGTCTAAAGAGGGAGGTGAGGACCAGGGGGTGGGGGGGATGGATGTCACGGCCAGGGCCCTGATATGTCCCAGATGGCATGGCTCCTTATTTCCCTTCATCATCAGCATCATCATCGGCATCATCCGCATCATCATCATCATCATCATCATCATCATCATCATCTTCATCATCAGCATCATCATCATCATCATCATCAACATCATCAGCATAATCATCACCAACATCATCATCATCATCATCATCATCAGCAGCAGCATCATCATCATCATAATCATCATCATCATCAGCATCATCATCATCATCAGCATCATCATCATCATGAACATCATCGTCAGCATCATCATCTTTGCTTCTTGTAGAAGGTTTCTTGTGGTTGATCCCCTACTGCATGCCCAGAACTCCGAAGACGTGTTCTTCTTCTCGGCGTGGACCCTCCGAGGTCCGAATCCCTTCCTCGGGACCAGCGTCTGATCCCGAGCTGCTTCTCGACGGCTCCGGGGCCGTGAGGGGGCCCTACAGGCCCGGAAGCGGAACCCACGTCCCGTTGTGATTCTCTTGCGATGTGGGCGACCGACCTTGCCCCATTCATCACGCCCCAACCCCCACGAGGGGCCAGATCGGCCACGTTTTCGTATCCCCTCCTCCCCCTTGCGCCCAGAGTGTGGGGCAGCAGCCAGGACATGGATCCAGCGTCGACCGTCGAGGTGGGAGCTGGTGCCCTCCGACTCGTGGGGGAGGGGGGGGGAGGGGCCGGTCCGCTCGCCGCCGCCGCGGGGGGCCAGGCCGCGGGGGCCCGAGGCGCAGCTCTCGCGGGCCGTGGGGCGCGGGCTCGGGGCCCGAGCCGAGTTCTGGATGGTCGCTTGAGTGGGAGTCCAAGACGGGGGTGGGGATCAGGTGTGCGCGTGTGTGTGCGTGGGTGTGCGTGTGTGTGCGTGTGTGCGCGTGTGTGCGCGTGTGTGCGCGTGTGCGTGTGTGCGCGTGTGTGCGTGTGTGCGTGTGTGCGCGTGTGCGCGTGTGTGTGCGCGTGTGTGCGCGTGTGCGCGCGTGTGTGTGTGTGTTTTGCCCACTTGCCGTTTGCACCTTGCAGCATGCGACGTCTCGTACTCCTGTGCCTTCGACAGTGCTCGATCGCAATCAGCACTTCCATCTGCTGCCCGCGCTTAATGACCCCTTACGCTGCCGCTTATTCTGATTAATATTATTACCATTCTCAGGTGCACATCTATTATACACTGTTTTGACGAATACCATCTCCCAGAATGTATGACCCCTTCTTCTTTACCCAGCACGTCCCCTTCCCTCCCTCGTCCGCGCACACGCCTCGGGCAATGATGCACGCCACCCCCACCCCTCTTCCGTCACCCGCGCCGTGATGTTTTTTGTTGTGTTACACAAAAAGCGTGGACTCCCAGAGATATCGACCCATTACCCCGGAGTGTTTTTCCGAATCCCCCCACACACCACACACACATACCCCTGCGGCTAGGAGGACGACGCCGACGAATGGGGGAGGACATGGGGGAGAATGATGATGATGACGCGGTGGAGGAGAAGGAAGAGGAGGGGGGGCATGAAGAAAAGGGATGCGAATCGATTGATGATGGTGGTGGTGGTTCTGATGGTGATGATGGTGTTCGTGACGCTGTTGCGGATGATGATGGTGACGGTGGTGATGGTGATGGCGATGGTTATGTTGGTGGTGATGGTGATGGTGATGGCGACGATGGTGGTGTTGATTCTGATGAGGGTGATTCTGCTGATGACGACGATGATGGTGAGGAGGAGGAGAAGGAGGAGGAGGGAGAGGAGGAGGAGGAGGAGGAGGAAGAGGAGGAGGAGGAGGGGGAGGAGGAGGAGGAGGAGGAGGACGAGGAGAGAGGAGGAGGAGGAGAGAGGAGGAGGCGCGATGCGCCGGAGCACAGTGAGGCAAAAAACGGTCGGCGGGAGCGACGGGCCGGAGCACGGCCCCCCGCGGCGGTCGGCGAGGGCCTCCCCCCCCCCCCCCCCCCCCTTCGGTTCCGAGCCCCCCCTCCCCGCCGCTGCCGGCCGCCAAGCAGCCATGGGCGACGAGGAGGCGCCGCGGTCGCGCGCGCGCGCGGCCTCCTCCTCGCGGCTCGCCGCCGCCTCGCCCGCGCGACCCTCTTTGGCGCCCCCGAGGCTCGGGGTGCACGGGGTGCCCGAAGAGAGAGAGAGAGAGAGAGAGAGAGAGGTGTGCGCGGGGCGAGGGACAGCTGCCCGCCTCGAGGACGTCTTACCAGCCTGGCAATACTTCTGTCCACGTCCACTGCGATGTGGAGTTTCGGGTTTTCCCTTCCCCAGAAGCCAGAGGCGCGCTGGGTATGGATAGATTTGCCCCCTGGAGGCTCGATTTCTATCCATGTCCAGAGCGCCTCGGCCTTGTGATGCTCCTTCCCAAAAAAACCAAGACGCACTGGATCTGGATACGAACCTTGCCCGCGTTACCAGCCTGGAACCTATCCCTATGCTGGGCATCTCCTCATCACGATGCCAATCTTAGGGATTCCCTTATTTTTTGAGGGCGCATCCCTAAGATTGTCATCGCCCTTTGGCGTGTCAATCTTAGGGATAGAGATACGTTCGAGGCTGGTAAGACTCAAGGATGGATGACCGTGGGCAGAGGATCGGGGATCGGCAGTCGTCGACCCAGGCTCGAGGAGCGGGGCTCGACGGCCGAGGGTCGAGGACCGTGGGTCCTCGCGGCGGAGTCGTCGATGGCCCAGGGCTCCTGTCCCTCCCCGTATGACTTTCCCCGCCTCCTCCCTTCCTTGCCCTGCCTCCTCCCTTCCGTCTTCTGCTCCTCCCCGCTCCTCGCGCTTCCCCCTTCTCTGTGTCCCGTCCCCTCCCTCTGCCTGGGGCTGCCCCATGGCCCCACGGGGTCACCTCGACGCCACAGACTCCCCCGGAGGCAGGAATGGCTCGCGGGGCTCAGGACGGCCCCGTCTCCCAAGAGCGGCATCCGGCGCGGAGGAGATGGATGTCGTGGTAAACAATGCGCGTCAGGCTCTCCAAGATCCCCGGGACCTCCCAGAGTGCCCAGTGCCCCACGCGGGCTGCAGAGACCAGGGCTGCTAGACACTCCGGGATGCTGGAGCTCCACCCGGGCCAGTCGCGTCGTGACACCCTTCTCGTCCCTGTTGGCCCCCCAGGGCGTGTCGGCGGCTCCCGCGGTGGCCACCCGTTGTCCGCCGTGGCCTCTGTTGGAGGCCTTCATTCGGGAGGGGAAGGAACACAGACACAATGAATCGTCGACTCCCAGGAAAAGTATGGGAAACTATAGGAAGTGGGGGGGGAAGACAAAGATAAGGGAAATATGGTAACATATGGGGAGTATTCTTGTTAGTGTGTATGTTTTAGTGTGTCCTGGGCCCCCTTTCACTCATGGGCTCCAGGCTGCCAGCTCACGGGTCGGAGCCTCCCGGCCGGCCGGCTGCTCCGGGCCCGGGCGCGAAGAGCCTGCGCGCGAGTCTGCAGCCAGCAGGCGACGTCAGGGAGGGCGCTCGCGGCTTCCCTCCCTCCCTCCTCCTTCTCCTCCTCCTCCTCCTCCTCCTCCTCCTCCTTTTTTCCCTCCTCCTCCTCTTTCCTGGCTTTCCCCATTCCTATTCCTTATGAATAATTTCTCCTTGTCGCACCCCAGGCCAGTTTTTAGGGTGGGTCGGGCATGTCCCCCCATACAGGCGGATGCTGGAGGAAGAATTTGCAAACGAGTCCAAACGAATGCACCCAAACTGTGAAACATTTGTCAAGCATCGTCCCCAGACTATTTGTTCTATTGTTTTGGAACAGTCCTCCTGTAGAGGGGCATGCCCGACTCAGGATGGATGGAGGGACCGAGTTCGCCCATCGACGTGGCCACCGTCGTCGTCGCCGTCGGGAGGCGGCGTGAGCCTTAGCTGAACGCGCCCAGCGGAACCCGGCAGGGGGGCAAGTTCGCTCAACATCGGTCCCCCTGCTGCTCCAGGGGCGCTTCGCGCGCCAGGTCCCGTCGGATCCGAGAAATCCGTGCTGACCTCTTCAAATGTGTGTGTGTGCAGTTTTTGTTTGGTTCCTCGTAACCAGTCCATCCAGGAGGGATTTGGGGGCCCCTTGGAGCCATCCAGAGGCTCTGCTGGGTTCCCTGTGGGGCCTCTCGGGGCAGTCTTGGGGCCCGCTCGGGGCTCTTTTGGGGGGGGTTCGGGGCCCTCTTGTGCTCTTTGGGGGGGTCTGGGGTCTCTTTTTGGATAGTCTTAAGCCCCATAGCCAACAAAGGAGGATGGCTTTAATTCAGCCCTCCTCGGATGCCGAACAATGGCGTCTTGAGGCCTCTTGGTGCGCTGTTGGGCGCTCATGAGGCCGTCTTGGGGCCCTCATGGGCCTCTCTTGAGGCTATCGTGGGCCATTTTAGGGCCATCTTGAGGCTTCCGAAGCTAATCGGAAACGAAACGGCGAGGTGCCTTGGAAGGTTCAGAGGGCGGTTCGGAGGGCACTTGCAACCGTCTTGAGGCGGTCTTGTGACCCATTGGGGATATGTCGGAGACTATCTTAAGCCATTTTGAAATAGCATGGGCCATCCCAGGAGACCATCTTGCAGCATCTGGGGGAGCCATCTTGGGCAATCTTAGACGCTCTAACCCCTCGCCCCCCCCCTGTCCAGACCCAGGGGAGGAGGTACGGGGAGGGGACAAGCCACCCTCCTAGATAGCAGGCTGTCTAGCTCACTCCCACCCGCCCCACCACACAAGTAATACCCGAGTGTCAGCAGATCGCTCAGGAACCCCACACATGAGATGCGCGCCACGGGTTCCAGGTTCACCCAGGCACCTTGGAGGCCCAAGCGTGCCAGGTGCGGCACATGCTCCACGCGTGCCAATTGTGCCACAAGCTCCAGCCGCGCCAGGTGCTCCAGCTACGGGGAACCACTAGGGACCACAGTTGCCTCAGGCCCTGGCTCCTAGGAGCTCTGCATCTAAAACCACCTGAAGCGAAGTGCCGAGAATTCTGTGAGAAGGGCGGCTCTTCCAGGGAGCGCAAAGCACCGGCACCGATGGACAAATGGTGACATCTTGAGGAGTCCTGAAACAGATCAGAATTCGTAGAAAAGAAGGGCCTGCGCATGCTCCAGATTTGAAACCACAGTGTTTTTGTTGTATTGTTTTTTGGTAGGGATGGTTGGCCTGCGCGCAGCAAGCAATATGCCAGCACCCCCACCGTCCCTTCAAAGACCCAGGCAAAGTGGTCGCAGGGCGCCCACGCATGCGCCAGATTCGGAGGCAGAGAGCATCTTGCTAGTCTTTTTGTTTACCAGGGGTTGTGGGGCGGGGCTCATTGGTCTGGGTTGGCTGCCGGTCACCTGGGAGAGGGGGTGTTTATTTTTATGGGCAGTGATCAACACACCCTCCCCGCCTGCAGGCCGTCTCGCTCACTCCTACCCGCCCTCCCAACACAGAAGTAGCACCCGAGCCCCAGCGTTTTCAGCGCAAGCCTTTGGACGGACAGCTATTGGGAACCAACACAGACCCCATGTGCGAGGTGCGCCATGCATGCCAGGCGCGCCACGCGCGCCAGGTGCGCCGGGCACCCCTGTGGCCCAAGCGTGCCGGGACACCTGGTGCGCCAGATACGCCACGTGATGCACGTACGCCATGTGCGCCGCATGCTCAAGCCGCGCCAGGTGCGCCACGTGCGGGGCACGCGCAGAGCGTACCAGGTGCGCCTGCGCAAGTGGTAGTACGCATCGGGACACGTGTCGCCCCCCCCCCCCCACCCCTGTCGAAAACCAGTGCGCAATCGCGGCGGGGTGGCCATCATGGCGTCTGGTTGGCTTGCACAGCACACAGCAGGCGATATGCCAACACCCCCGCCGTCCCAGTCACAAACCAGTGCACAGTGATCGCGGTGTGCCCGCGCATGATCCAGAGTTTGTCTCGAAGTGCACTTTGCATGATGTTTTGACACGGATGCTGGTCCTGCGCGCACAAGGCAATATGCGGGAACCCCCACCGTCCTTGTGAAAAACAATGCAAATGCCTCGCACGCCCCGCCCCGATCATGACCCAAGATGTTGCCCCAAAGTAGACTTCACATTGTTCTTTGACAGGGATGGTGGTGGGGGGTGGTCTTATAAGTCCTGGTTGGCTGCCAGTCGCCTGGAGGAAGGGGTGTTTATTCATAGGGACCAGTGATGAAGACACCTCTCCCAGACAGAAACTGTTTGCTCACTCCCACCCGCGCTCCCAACACATAAGTAGTACCCGAGTCTCACAAGACTAAGCAGTCGTCTCTGGATTGGCAGCTGCTGGGAACTAACCCAAACCCCAGGTGCGCGACAGTAGCGCGAGGTGGGCCACGCGTGACAGGCGCACCACGCGTGCCAGGCGCATCAAGCGCACCACACGCGCCAGGCGCCCCTGGGGCCTAAGCGAGCCATGCACGCCTGGTGCGCCAGGTGTTTCATGTGCTCCGCGTGCGCCAAGTGTGCCGCGTGCTCCAGCCGCTCCCGGTGCGCCTCGTTCCCGAGCACGCGCAGAGCCTGCCAGGTGTGCCCGCGCACATCTGGGTACATGTCGGCCTCCACCGTCCTCATCGAACACAACATAACAATCGCGACGGAGGGGCCATCATGATGCCTTGTGGGCCTGCACACAGCAGGCAACGTGACAGCACCCCCGCCGCACCTGTCAGCACCAATGCGACGCGATCGCGAGTTGCCCGCGCATGCTTCAGATTCGGCCGTGAAGCGCAGTTCGTATCGTTTTTGACAGGGGTGGAGGCCCTGAACACAGCAGGCCATATGCTGACAACCCCACCGCCCCTCTCGAATAATATTACAAGGTGCTCGCGACCACCCCCCGAGCATAATCCTCGGTTTTGCCGCAAATCTTATTGAGTATGGTTTTTGTTGTCAGGTATGGTGGGGGCACAAAGCATGTTGTGTCCTGGCACCCCCGCCGACCCCTGTGGTCGCGGGGTGTCTTGGCATGATCCAGATTTGGAGGAACGTATCTGTAATATACTCTGTTTTGGCAAGGATGGTGGGGGGGGCTCATGGGTCCAGGTTGACGCCTGGTCGGGTCGGGTGGGGGAGGGGGTGCTTATTGATAGGGAGCAGGGATCAAGACACTCTCCCAGGCTCCCAGGGGCAAACTGTTTGGCTTACTCCCACCCGCGTTCCCGGCACAGAAGTAGCGCCCGAGTCTCAGCATATCCAGCGGCCGCCTGGCAGCTACTGAGAACCATACAAGCCCCTGGTGCGCGACGCTGGGACCAGGCGCGCCACGGGCACTAGGCGTGACAGGCGCCCCATGGGGTCCAAGCGAGCCATGCCCGCCTGGAGCGCCAGGTGTGCCATGGGCTGCGCGTGCGCCAAGTGTGCCGCGTGCTCCAGCCGCGTCAGGTGCCCCTCGTTCCTGGGCTCGTGCAGAGTGTGCCAGGTGCGGCCCCGCACATCGGGGCACATGTCGGCCTCCACCGTCCTCATCGAAAACAGAAGAACAGTCGCGACGGAGTGGCCATTTCGATGTCTGGTGGGCCTGCACACCTCAGGCAACGTGCCAGCACCCCCGCCGCTCCTGTCAAACACAGCGCAAAGTGATCGTGGGGTGGGTGCCCGCGCATAATTCACATTCGGTTGCAGCGACGTGGAATTCGTTTTTTGCTCTTTCTCAGAGGGGGTGGTTTTCCTGCGCGCAGCAGGCAATATTCTGGCACCCCTGCGTCTCTCTGTCAAAAACCAATGCCACAAACCAATGCAACATGCTCGCGGGCCCGCCAAGCACGACCCAATATTCTGCTGCAGCTTGCACTTTGCACTGTTTCTGAAGCCCTGCCTTCACTGTGCTCTCTTGCTTGTGTTGAGCACTGCGGTCGCGACCTCCTTCTCCTCCCGCCACCCTTCTCTCTTCCCTCCTCCTCACGTTCCTGCCTTTTTATCCGGCTTGTACCTGTCTGTCAGCCTGCCCCTTACACCGCCGTCGAACACTACCTCGCCATCTCTGGGGGGCAGCAGCGGGGTGGCATCATACGCAGGCTCATATTTGACCTCGCCATCGCTGGGGGGGGGAAGGGGGCTGCGAACTGCCAAACTGTCGCCACGTTCGAGGGCTGCTGGGAGGTCCAGCGGCGTGGCGGCATACACAGAATCATCTCAGTCCTCGCCTTCCAAGGGGGGGCTGCAAACTGCGAATCTGTCGTCACTTCCGAGGGCTGCTGGGGCTTGAGCGGAGTGGCGTCATGCGCAGACTCAGATATGACTTCGCCATCCCTGGGGGAGGCTGCGAACTGCGAATCTGTCGCCACTTTCCAGAGCTGCTTGGGGGTCCAGCGGAGTGACGTGCCACGCAGATTCAGATTTGACCTTGCCGTCTTTTGGCGGCTGCGAATTGCGAAACCGTCACCGCGTTCGGGGGGCCTGCCGGGGGGGGTCCAGCGGAGTGACGCCATAGGCAGGCTCAGATTAGTCCTCGCCGTCCAAGGGGTTCGAACTGCGAATCTACCGCCATGTTCGAGGGTGATTGGGGTGTCCAGCGGAGTGATTGCATACCCAGACTAAGATTCCGCCTCGTCATCCTGGGGGGCAGGGAGGGGACTGCGAAACCGTCGCCACGTTCGAGGGCTGCTGGGTGTCCCAGCGGACCGACGTCATACGCAGACTCAGATTGGACCCGCGAAGCCGTCGCGCCTTCTTTGGGGCTGTTAGGGGGGTCCAGCGGAATGACGTGCTACGCAGACTCCTGTTAGACCTCGCACTGCCAAACCGTTGCCACCTTCGAGGGCTGCTGGGGGGTCCAGCGGAGTGACGTGCTTTGCAAACTCAGATTCGACCTGGCCATCCGTGGAGGGTGCGAACCGCGAATCCGTCGCCGCTTCCGAGGGCTGTGTGAGGTCCAGCGGAGTGGCGTGCCACGCAGATTCAGGTCAGACCTCGCCATCCTTGGGCGGCTGCTAACTGCCAAGCTGTCGCCACCTTCGCGGGCTGCTGGGGGGTACAGCGCTGGGACGTGCTACGAATACTTTGATTAGACGTCGCCATCGCTGTGAGGATTCGACCTGCGAATCTGTCGCCACTTTCGAGAGCTGCTGGGGTGCCCAGCGGAGTGACGTGCTACGCAGATTCATGTCAGAGCTCGCCGCCCTGGGGGAGTCTGCGAACCGCGAAACGGTTGCCACTTTTATGGATTCAAGGGCTGCTGGCGGTCCAGCGGAGTGACGCGCTGCGCATATCCATATTAGACGTCGCAATCCCAGGTGGGCGGGCCGCGCCCATGTCAAGCGTGCCACTGGAAACTCCTCATCTTGCCTCTTTCGTAGCCGTCCTCTTCTTCCTCCTTCCACCGTCTCGCTGCTGCCGTCGCGTTGAAGTTTCCGCCCTTCTTGTGTCCTTTCCCTGTCCCTCGTTCACATCCCCATCTTCTCGTCGAGCCTGGGGCCTCAGTGCTCGTCCTTTCTGTTGCTGCAATGTGAGTCGTGCAACGCGCGTGTTTCCAATGTAGCTGGCACAGCCAATCACGGGTCCTGTGGTGTCATCGGCCAGCGTATTCTGGACCAGCTCCTCTTGTCACTTAATACAGATGGGTTTGGTACGTCGCAAGGTAACTCGACAGGGATGGCGGGGGTTAGCCCTCATTGTCCCGGGTTCGTCGCTTGTCAGTTTGGGGAGGGGTTGTGTTTCGTGAGGAGCAGTGGTAAGCCCCTCCCCCGAGCAGGTGAAAGATTGGAAGATGGAAGGGGAAACTCGTTATACCACCTTCGCTGGAAGGACTGGTGGGATGACCAAGCGCGTGGGTAGGGGCTGCTCGCCACTCTTCGGCAGCATTCTGGCCCAAGGGTCGGATTTAGCAGAGACTTTAGACATATTGGCCTCGATTGGTGATCGTCGTCGTCGTCGTCGTCCCCTCAGGGGGGCCCTATCTTTCTGCTGTACCTTTGGAGCCAGAGCGATCCGTGAGGGTCCCCGGGCCCGAAACACGGCAAAACTCGCCCGTGGCGAGCAAATTGCGACGCCATTACCTCAGGGTTATCACCGGTCGTCGTCGTCGCCGTCGCCATCACCGTCGCCGTCGGCGTCGCCGTCGCCGTCGCCATCGCCGTCGCCGTCGCCGTCGCCGTCGCCCCCCCCCTTCCCTGGAGGAGGACCAGGAGCCCAAGTACGAGCTCTACCCGCTCGGCGAAGACAAACCGCGGGAGACCCCGAGCGGGGTGGGGTGGCGAGGCGGCATCGCACAGGGCGGGCATGCAGCTGCGTGGAGGGCTGGGCGCGGCGGGGCCGGCGCCGAGGGTCTGTCTCCTGCCGCTCGACACGAGCCAGGGGGGCATTGGCGTTTGGAATCTCGCCAGAGGTTGCCAGAGGATCAGAGGAGGAACAGGTACCGATAACGCCCCCCTTGCCTCGTTGTGACCTCCGTGGGCCTCCTGCGAGGCCCTCGTCGCCACGGCTGGATTCGCTCCGAAATTCTTGTCAGAAAGCACCCCGAGGGAGGTCCCGAAGCAGCGGTATCGGTACCGACTGTCCGGAGGTCTGGGGGGATGGCGGTCGTCGTCGTCGAACGATGGGAATGGCAAGTCCGCTGGCGTCTCATGACATTTCGCTAACGCTGGGAAGCACACGAAAAGAGAAAGAAAGCGACCAGCGAGAGGAAATGGAGGCATGGTAGAGGGAGGGGGGGAACTGTGAGTTGCGGGCGTTGCGATTTGTCACCCGGCGATGTCGCGCCGGGCCGTGGGAACCTCGCGGATCGGTCGGATTCGAGCAATATGGTGCATCAAGACGGGGTCCTTGGGTCTCCTGTCGTTGTGTTTCGCGTTTTTTTTTTTGTTCGCAGCCTCGGGTCTCAGGGTCGGTCTCCGCGCTCAGGAGGAACGTCGCCGTGCCGCACCCCTTTTGGACGAGTGGGTCTGGTTCCACGCCCTCCTCCTTTTCCTCCTCCTCCCTCCATGTTCCAGGTGGTAGTTTGATCAAACTCTGGGGTGCTCTTGAGCAGCTCTGATGAGCCCAAAACCAAACGTCGCAAGGCGCACGTCCTACATCACTCGCAAATTTCTCATCTCGCACCCGCATCGATCATGTCTTCTGCAATGTTGTGCCCCAGCGAAGATGTAGCACATCTGGCGGCATCGCAGACACCGCGCATCAAATCCCAAACACACGGATATGTTTCCGGCGGCTGGACCGAGACTTCTTCGCCCCGTGACAAGCATCACGACGGGAGTTATCTGGCCATTTCTGAGCCTTCATGGCCCATAGCAACTTGTTGGGCCCTGCAACAATCAACAAGACGAAGACTCGGGATGAAAAGCTTGTACCAAGGAATGGGTCGAGATTTCTGTGAGCCGATGGTATAAATTTATGACGTCAGGAGTCTGGGGCTTGAGGTGGAGGAGGAGGAGGAGGAGGAGGAGGAGGAGGACAACGGTGGAGATGAGCAGCTGGTGGTTTAGGTGAGCGTGGACGTTAAGGAGTCGGGGAAGGCCGATGAGGACGAAACAGATGGAGGAGTCTTCCTGACACACCCTCTTCCTCAGTAGTGTAATTTCTTGTTGATGGGATGTTTGCTTCATTTCCCCTATCAGTGTTTCTTGAATTCCATCTCTCATATGCTATGTGTGTTTTCTCATCTTTCCGTTCCACCCCTTCCCTTCTCTTTTCTTTTAGTGCATCCTTTTCGACGCTCATCTCATCTCGCTTGCTCTCTCTCGTTGCTCGGAAGCATCGTTTCTCTTCTCTCTTAATATCCTTCCACTCGTTTCGTTCGCTGTTTCCTGTGTGCTTATTATCCTCTCGTCTCTTCCTGTCCATTTGGTTATCTCCCTTCAGCGAGTGGCCGTCGGCCTTTCTCGTCACAGTGCCGCTCCCAAGGCCCCTTCGTGGTAGCGCCCTCCAGGGACGACCACAATGATCAACATCATGTTGCTCAACGATTCTAACCCCTGGGAAGCCGAACGGGAGTTCCCAGTAACGCGCGCCCAGAAGATCCGTGAGTTGGAGCTCCGGCCCCCTGGAAGATTTTGTTTATGCACTCAAAGCAGAGCTCGAAGGGGCCCGAGTCCACTCCACGCAGTTTCTACGGCACGTTGGCTGAAAGTGGTTCCTATTTTGGTGTCCGCTTTCCGCTCATACTACCCTTCAGTCTCCTCAAGCACGTTACCATTTGTTGTGCGTTGTGCTCTTTGTTTGTCGTGTTTTTGTTGTTCTCGTTTTTGTTTCTCACTTTTTTTGTTTTTGTTTCTCTCTCTCTCTCTACAGCTATATTTAGATTTTCGTGTATGTAAATGTCTCTCGCTCTCCCTGTGTCTCCCCCTCTCTCTCTCTCTCCCAGCCCCTGCGGCCCCTCTCGACAGCGCTGCCAGAGAGCCCATCCGTGGTCCGATGACCTCCGCCCGCGCCCACCGCGGCCTCGGGCCCCCTCCCCCCGGAGAAGTGGGGGGAAGGGGATAGGAGGCGAAGGAGGGGGAGGAGGAGGGGGAGGGGGAGGAGGAGGAGGAGGGGGAGAAGGAGGAGGAGGAGGAGGAGGTGGAGGAAGAGGAGGAGGAGGAGGAGGAGGAGGAGGAGGAGGAGGAGGGGGAGGGGAATGGGGAGGCATCCCCGCCGCTCGCTCCCCTCCGATGCGGAGGAACCGTCGAGCTTGCCCGGCCGGGCCAGAGTGGCTCGTCTCCCCGTCCTCGCCATCCTCCTCGTGCTCCCTCCCGGGCTCCCCCCCCCCTCCCCCCGCCCGCTCTCCCCCGCCCTCGCCCTCCGCTCTCCTCCCCCCTCGCCCCCCTGCCGACCCGCCGACGCGCGCTGCTGGCAGCGGCGTGCGGTCCGCTGCTGGCGCCGACGCCGCCAGGGGCGAGCGTCACCTCGAGCCCGCCCACGCACTTGCCATCCCTCCCTCTCCCCCCCCCCGCCTCCTGCTAACTTTGAATGTGTCCCCCCTCCCTCGCCCCCCCTCCCTCGCCCCCCCTCCCTCGCCCCCCTCTCCCCCGCCTCCTCCTGCTCACTCTTCATCTGTCTCGCACTGCATGTGTCCAGACAGGCCAGAATCCAGCGACCTCTGCCTCACCCACTTGGTCTGAGGTGGGCTCAGACGCTTGTTCGCAGCGGCGGTCGTTCGTACGTTCGTTTGTTCCTCCCTCCCTCGCCCCCCCCACTCCCGAGTCTGTGCTGACAGGCCCAGCTTCGTCGGCGTCAGAATCCAGAACCCCCCCGCCACCCCCTGCTCGCCATCCGCTGGACAGGTCTCTCCCCCGCTCGCCTGCCCGCCCTCGCCGTGCCGCTGGCTTGGGGCGTCCGGGAGGTTGAGGGTCTGAAACGGATCCCGATCTCTCCGATCGGTGTCATCTCGTCTCGGTGCCGATCTTGAGGATCCCCCCCCCCCCAGTTTCTGGGGGCGCGCCCCTGGGACTCGCATCGCCCTGGGCGCGCCGCTCTCCGGGGCAGGGCTGAGCCTGAGGCTGGTCACAAGAGGGCTGGCTTCGGCCCTTCCGGCTCTTCGATGCCTCCCTCTCTGGGCCGCTGCCCCCCCCCGCTGTGGTTGCCCCTCGGCCCCTCGTCTGCGCCCGTGCCTCGGGCCAGGGCGCGCCAGTCCGCGGATCCCCCCTCTTCGGCGCTCCCCCGGCCTCCTCGCTCCCCGCCGGCGCCTCCGAGCCGGGGTGCGGTCGGAGCTCAAGAGACGGGGGCCAATGCACACGGGGGTCCGCCAGGGCTCCGGATCCTGCAGGATCCTGCAGAACCCCCCCCTGGCTGACCCGGGTTGGCGAGCCGTTCGTGGCCGCGAGGCGGGCGCGCATATTGGCTGACCCGGGTTGGCGAACACCCGCGTTGCAGTTTTGATTTGCCTGCATTGCAGTTTTTTGGTTTCCTGCTGACCCGGGTCTGGATTGACCCGGGTCAGAAGATCCCCGATGCGGCAGGAAGATGGCTCTCAGAAGTTCACCGGCCAGGCCAAGGCGAAGTTCCTCAACGGGGACGGGCGGGCATCGTCGTCGTCAGCCTCGTCGCAGTCGTCGGGGTCGTCGTCGTCATCCGCCTTTCGTCGTGCTTCGTTGCACATGCGGCTGGCTGCTGGTCCACCTCCTCCTCCTCCTCCTCCTCCTCCTCCTCCTCCTACTCTGGGAATATTGTCGGTATTGCCGCTCATGGTCCTCTCACGTCCAGGATCGCGGGGACGCGCATCGAGAGTCGCAAGGACTCTGAGTGAGGAAGCCGCCCTGTCGCCTTAGAGGCCCAGCCTCTAGGCACATTCCCGGCTTGATCAGGCTCGCCTTTCCAGAGCCATTTGGTTTTCAATTCGTTGTGCAGCCGTGTGATGGTTTTGTTTCGTTGAGGTGCATAGTTGACCTCGGCTCAGTCAGGAGGTAGCCTCAGAGGGTCTTTAATGCTAATTGGGCCCTCCACTCCTAAGCTTTCGGTTGGCAATGAGATTCGCCCTTCCCTTCCTCGTCCTTCCCCTCATCATTTCCTCCTCCTCCTCATCATCATCATCAGCATCGTCGCAAGCATCATCATGACCAGCAACATCATCAGCAGCATCATCATACACATCGTCACCATCAGGGATCGTTTCCTCCACCTCCTTGTCCTCCTCCTCATCCTCGCCCTCCTCCTCGTCCTTCTCCTCCCCCCTTTCCTTCTTGCTTCCTCCTCCTCCTCGGCCTCCTCATGCAGGCGACATCCGTGTGCGCAGCCTCCCGCTGCTCCTGATCTTCCTCGCCTTGCCCTGAAGAGGAAAACACAGCGGGGTTGAGAATCGCAATTACCCATTATTCTTCGAGGTTGGGCATCGTACCCATTCTTCTTCGAGGTGGGGCATCGTGCCCATTCTTCGATCCTTGTTCTTCTTCGAATGGCCTCGGATCTTCCTCGCCTCGCCTCTTCCGCGCACACTGCGCCTATCGGCGCTGGGATCCCCTGGCGCCGCCACTGGCGCCGCGCGCCAGACATCGGGGTCCAGCGCCGATCCAAAATCTCCGCGCAGACCTCGAACAGTGCGTGTCTACCCCAAGTAATGCTCCGTCGATTACGTGGCGAGCTGCTCTTGGTCGCTTCTCGAGGGAGTGCTGCGCCCGTTAAAAAATCTCTGCGAGTCTGCGCCCGTCGGGTCTGTTGTTGTCTTGGGTCTGCTGCACGAGCGGGCGTCTTCTCCGATCCGCGGGTGCTGCCGCGAGGGGGCCCTGGCGCCGACTCAAGGCCTGCCCTCTCCCCTCGGGCAGGCCACCGTCGGACGGGGCTGGGACGAGGATACAAGTCCGTTCCAGAGCGTCCTGGAACGCGTTCGGGGCGCTCTGGGATGCTCTGAGGAGGCCGCGGCGCCCGAGACCTCCTCGGGAACAGCTGCATCTCAGGGAGTCTCGCTTCATCCTCGCCCGAATGCATCCTCGCCCTGGCTTCGTCCTGCAGTCAACAAAAACCCTAATACGGGCGCGCGACTTTACTCAGGGCACCCTTGCGTCCTTGCTCTGCCTTGCTCCTGCGTCCTTGGGGTTTCCGTCGCCCGCCGCCCCAACAATCCCAGCTTCGGCTTCCAGGGGTCTTGCGCCCTTGCCCCGCGTCCTCATGAGGGCCTTTTGACCGTACACCTCCGTGTGAGCAGCCTCCCGCTGCTCTCCCCGTCCTCCTCGCGCGCCTCTGCCCCTCTCCTCGCGCCTCCGCCCTCCCCTCTTCTCTGGCCCTGGGCCCCCGGGCGCGCCGGCTCGGCGGGCGCCGCGGGGATGCCGCGCGTGCCCGCTATGTCTCTGCACGCACGAAATGGGTACTGAAAGAATGGGTACAATGCCCAACAGCGGGTCTTGTTCATTTCAGGCCTCGCTGTCCACGCCGCCGCGGCCTGTGTCCATTCGAGACAGGAGGCCGCCTGCCCAACAGCGGCCGCTGTTGGCTTGGGACAACATTTGTTGTTGGGCATAGTGCCCATTCTTTCAGTACCCATTTCGGGCGTCCAAAATGTCGTGTGGCTCGCCTCCTCCTGAGAACGACGTGTCGGAGGTTGATAGACCTCCTGCCCTGGCACGTCGAGTAGCGATTTGGCCGTTTTCGGTTCGCGAGAGGGCGTCGCGGCCATCATTTCTGCGGGTCCAGGTCCGTCGGTTTCAGTCCCAGTTCGTTTTCACCAAAGAGAGGTTTACTAAAGGGAGGTTTGTCCACTGCCGAGTGTGGCTCGCCTCCTCCTGAGAACGACTTGGGTCCTGGACTCAACGCTGGGGCACAGTCGGAGGAGGAAAGGGTACCCCTACCGCTACCCTTCGCCTCGCTTTCCTATTCGTGAGCCTCCTGGGAGGCCCTCGTCGCTACCGCTGGACGCGCCTCGAAATTTTGGTCAGAACGTACCCTGGGAGAGGTCCGCGGAGTAGCGGCATCGGTACCTTGGTGTTTCCGATTCAACGCCGGGGTACAGGTCGCACGCAGTGTGCTGTTGGCAAGGTTCTCATGTGAGGCGTCTGAGGCAAGCGGTCGTGGAGGTGGGGAAGCGCTGCTGTAATGCCGCTCATCCCGCCTGCGCTAAACTGTGTACGAAGCTATCTTGCCAGACGCTGAGTTCCGAATGATCCCCCCCTCCTGCGGATGATCCCGGGCGGCGGAGTCCGCAAGCAAACAGCCTAAACTCATTCTCTGTCCCCGTCCTGTTCTTCCGCCTGTCCCCTCCTTGGCCTCTTTTGCTACCTCTGAGTGTCTGGGAGGACGTCTACGACGGCACCTTCGTGGAGGGCATGCGACGAGGCAAGGGAACCTACGTCTTCAAGAAGTTTGGGGATGTGTACGAGGGCCACTACGAGGACGCCTGGGAGCAGCAGCCACACATTGTGTTGACGCTCGTCGGGCAGACGGCAACGGAGGACCATAAACGTGGGGGGATCGAGGTCTCAAGGAAAGTGGCCTCTAAAGGAGACCCTCAACGGCCCCTCAGCTGCCCACGCGGGCAAAACAAAAGGTGCACGCTTGTTTCCCCCAAGTTCTTTGCCCCCCGTTCACGACCACTCGAATAGTGTTGACACTCGGCGTATCCTCACATGCCCACCCCGTAGTCGATTCCTGGGCAGGGTATCGCGGTAAGATCTGCCGAGGGAGCATTGTGCGAATCAGAGAGGGATGGTCTTCTGAGTCGAACCGAAAGGGAGATGACAAGCCAGAGCAGCCGCTCCTTCCAAACGAAAATGCCAATTGGGGGGACTTCTGGGATCTTCCCCAGGCGGTGTGGTGACCAAACCGTGTGGTGAGTCGGTTTTGGGACTCGAGTCCTTCTCCGAGGAAGTCTCGGGCGACAGGGGCCTCCCGGGTCCCAAGGCCGTGCGGTGACGGACCGTGCGGTGCGGTCTTTTGGGGTTCCGAGGTCACCGCACGGTCTGTCCCCACACGATTTTGGGATCCACCCTTTTTGGCAGTCTCGCCGGGTTCGCCATGCTGACACCTCGGCGGCCACAGCAACCCTAACGTGGCCTTGGGAGGCGCAGCACCTAATCTGGTAACGCGGCGTGCCAGAGCCCTTGCAGGGGACTCGGCCCTGGGAGACGCCGCTTCGTTCTGGGAGGTTTAGCGGGCCCTCTGTTCCTGATCCTCGGACCCTTGAGGGGCCCTTTCGGGCTCTCTTGTGAACAAGCTTCTGGCCCTGGGCGGGCTAGGAGAGGCCTGGAGAGGGCCAACGCCTGTAAGAGTCCGAAGCTGTGGTCCTTGGGGCCCGTTGGGTTCCACCGAAGGCCGGGACGGCGATGAGGCGTCCTGATGCCAATTTTGGAGTTGTTCCACATCTGTCGGGACGCATGCTGGAGGCAATGTTGGCCGTCTTGTGCATCTTGGGGGGGATCTCGGGCTATCTGGGGCCTTTCTGGAACCATCCGTGGGCCCGCGGCCCCGTTCCCTCCTCCCAGGCTCTCGGGAGGGAATCTGGACAGTCGGATGAGGAGGAGGAGGACGAGGATGAGGTTGGAAGCTGGATAGGCAGGGTGGGTAGGGAGGACGAGAAGATCCACCCCCCTGCCTCTCCGCCGGCCTCCTGGGCCCCATGGCGGCGAGCACCCCCCCCAACGAAGCCCCCAAAGGGGGAGCAAAAACCCAGACCTCGGCAACGATAACGATACCAACGATCACAGCGACACCGATCACGCCGACTCCGATAACAACGATCACAACAATAACAACGATAACGATCACAACGATATAATAACGATCAGAACATTATCGTTGTTTTCGTTGTCCCTCCTCTCCTGTCGTCGTCGTCGTCGTGGTCGTTGTCGTCGTCGTCGTGGTCGTCGTCGTCATTGTCGTCCTCTTTCACGTCCTTGTGTTCGTCGTCGTCGTCCTCCTCTTCCTCCTCCCTCCCCCCTCCTCCTTGCCTCCTCCGTCTTGATCCAAGCCTCACCGCCGCCGTGGAGAGGAGGAGGAGGAGGAGGAGGAGGAGGAGGAGGAGGAGGAGGAGGAGGAGGAATAGGAGGAGGAGGAGGAGGAGGAGGAGGAGGAGGAATAGGAGGAGGAGGAGGAGGAGGAGGAGGAGGAGGAGTGACCGTCTCCGGGCAGGCGCCCGCCGGCTCCCGCCCGTGTCACCTGCAGCTCCTTCTCCCCCACCTCGTCGTCGTCGGCATCGGTGGCGTCGTCGTCTTCTCCGGCCTCGTCGGCATCTTCTGCCCAGCGCCTCGTCCATCGGGAAGCGGGTCCCGAGGTTTCTGCTCGCCGTTCGCGGGCCATCGACGGGCCCAGGGACCGTGAACAGGAATGACTCGGGATGACGAGCTGGCCCTGGGGAGAGCCCACGGGGTCCCCATTTCCCTCAGGACTCGGCTCCTCCATGCCAGCCCACCTCGCTCCTCGACAACCTCGTACCTGCTCCTCCGTGCCCTTCTGGTCGTCTTCTACCTCTGCCCCGCTGCTCGCCCACTTCGCCAGGGTCAATTCCGATCCGATCGATCCGATTCTGGCCGTCCCGATTCAGTTCGGTTCCGATGTTCGGGCCATCCGATGCGGCCTGATGCTTGCATGGTTCTTATGTGCGTCCTGGCGCCGCGGATTCGATTCGATTCAGACTCCGAGCCGATGCGGCACGATTCGATGCATGGTCCGATCCGCTTCAATGTCCTGTTTGGATGCCGACTCTTCCTGCCTCTGCCCGGATCAGTTTACAGTCAACCCGCATAGTAAGGATGGGCAACCTTCCCAAGGGTACCCTTGCATGCTTGCCTTCTCGGCCCATCCTTTGCCGCTTTCGTTGGCCGCGCCCCGCTCGAAAAGCTTCGAAACGGGCGTCCAAGGCCCGTGCATCCTTATCGCGCATCCTTACTGTACGGGTTGGATGTGAGACAATCAGGCCAGACGATCGACGCATGCCGATGCAGTTGTTCGTCAGCACTGGGCTGCTCTCCGCGGGGCTCGTCCGAGCCGGTCGTTCTCGCCAGTCGGAGAAGCTCGACACTTCTACACCCAGCCGTCCTGTCGGCCAGGGAGTCAAGGGGGCCTCGTCGAAGGAGTGCGGTGCATACAGAGTCCCACAGGGTTGGGCAGCTGGGGCGTCTATGCACCAAGCTCCTTTGCATACTCAGCGACGTGGCGTGTAAATCGAGCCCCTCCCAGCCACTCCGGTCCCTGCCCTCCAGTCTTCTCCGCCTCGTCGTCGTCGTCGGCGGCGTCGTCGTCGACATCGTCATCGTCGTCGTCGTCCACCTCCTCCCCGCTCTCTACCCTGCTCCAGGCTCTCCTCCGCCTCGTCTTTTCCCGCGGCCCTGCCCACCTGCTGGTCTCACATGTTAGTGGGTTGCCTGCAGGCAGTGGTCGTCCGCTACTCGCTCCGTCAGTCACTCCCGCTCCTGCCCCTCTTCTCCCTCGTGCTCCTCCTCCAGCTCGTGGTCGTAGACGTCCTCGTCGTTGTGCTCGCTCGTGCGGTGTCCGTCGCGTGGTCTCTGTCGTTCTCGCCTTATCTCTCGTCGCCGCCGTCGTCGTGTGTTTATGTAGATGTATCGAAGACGCCGACGGCGAATCACCTTCGCCCCCTGCCCCTTTGGAAGCGCCTCTGTGGCCGACAGCTGGGCCAGAGCTTGGCCAAGCTATCGGGCCAGTTGCTCTCCGAGTCGGTTCGGAAGGACTTCGGGGAACGAACGCATGGGGGAGCAAAAAGAGGAGGAGGGGGAGGATCAGGAAAAAAGAGGGAGGAGGCCTCGTCGGCGCCTCTTGGGGCACTCTTGGGGCCTCCTGGGAGCTTCCTGGGGCCTCTTGGAGAGTTTTTGGGGGCCTTTGGGGGCCTCTTTGGCCGTCGTAGGGCGTTCCTGGCTTGTCTGACGCCGTCGGACGCCATTTTGAGGGTCTGTCTGAATCGTCTTGGGGCCCTCTTGGGGCATATCAGGGGATCTTTGAGGCCATCTTGGGCGTCTTGGAGGCCTCTTGGGTCGTTTTGGGGGCCTCTTGGGGCCGTCTTGGGGGCCTTTTGGGCCGTCATGGGGCTGTCTTGGATGCCTCTTGGGCGATCTTGGGGGCCTCTTGCGCCGTCTTGAGCCGTCGGAAAGCCGAGAAGAAGCAAATGCCAAAATCTTCCAAAAACACTGGACAATAATTGATTTGGGCCTCTTCGTGTCCTCCTGGAAGACCGCGCGGACGCGTTTTGGGCCGTCTTGGAGGCCTCTTGGGGGCCTTTTGGGCCGTCTTGGGCCATCTTGAGGCCATCTTATGCCGTCTTGGGTGCATCTAGGGCAGTCTTGGAGGCATCTTTGGGTCATCTTGGCCGTCTTGGAGGCCGTTTTGGCCGTCTTGGAGGCCTGTTGGGCCGTCTTGGGGCCGTCTTGGGGGCCTCTTGGGCCGTCATGGGGCCATCTTGGAGGCCTCGTGGGCGATCTTGGGGGCCTCTTGCGCCGTCTTGAGCCGTCGCAAATGCCAAAATCCTTCAACTACCGAAGGGAAATCAATGATGATGGCCTCTTCGGGCGCTCCTGGAGGACCTCTTGGAGGCCTCTTGGGCCGTCTTGGAGGCCTCTTGGAGGCTTCTTGGGCCGTCTTAGGCCATCTGGCGGCCATATCAGGCCGTTTTGGGTGCATCTTGGGCCGTGTTGGAGGCATCTTGGGGCAATCTTAGCCGTCTTGGAGGCCATCTTGGGCGTCTTGGAGGCCTCTTGGGCCGTGTTGGGGCCCTCTTGGGGCCGTTTTGGGGGCCTCTGGGGCCGTCATGGGGCCATCTTGGAGGCCTCGTGGGCGATCTTGGGGCGATCTTAGGGGCCTCGTGGGCCGTCTTGAGCCGTCGGAAGGCCGAAAAGAAGCACATGCCAAAATCCTTCAAAAACCTAAGAAAAATCAGTGAGGTTGGCCTCTCCCGCCCCTTCTGGAGGATCTCTTGGAGGCGTCTTGGGGGTCTCTTGGGGGCCTCTTGGGCCGTCTTGAACCATCTTGAGGCTATCTTGCGCCGTCTTGCAGGCATCTTGGGCCATTTTGGAGGCATCTTGGGGCCATCTGAGCCGTCTTGGAGGCAATGTTGGCCGCCTTGGAGGTGTCTTCTTGGGCCGTCTTGGAGCCGTCTGGATCGGAGAAACCCTTCGCAACCGGCTCCGGGCGTCCTGGGCAGTCTTTTCGGGTGGCCCGCGGGGCGCGTCGGAGCCCCAGGCGGAGTTCTCGTGGAAAGGAACCAAAACCAAAACCGAGAGCCTCTGGCACGCCAGGCACCCCTGCGATGAATCGACAGGGGGCGGCGGACGGCGGATCGAAGACGCCTACGGCGAATCACCGCCGCCCCCTGCCTTTTTGGAAACGCCTATGTGGACGAACGTTGAGGCCAGACCTGCCAAGCTATCGGATCATGTGTTCCCCGAATCGGTTTGGAAAGCCTTCGGGGAACACGTGGGCATCTTGAAGGTCATCTTGGCCGTCTGGAGGCCATGTTGACCCTTTCGGGCCTTCTTGGAGGACGTCTTGGAGGGCTCTTGGGCCGTCTTGGAGGCCATGTTGAGCGTTTTGGAAGCCTTTTGGGCCGTGTTGGGGGCCTCTTGGGGCCGTCTTGGGCGATCTTTGGGGGCACTTGGGCCGTCTCGGGCCGTCGGCAGGCCGAAAGAAAGCAACTGCCAGAATCCTTCAAAAACATTAGGAATGATTATCTTTGGATGCAGTTTTCCTCCGCGTCGAGCGGCCAAGCGAGAGGGTCTCCACCCCTTCCTTCTTTCTCCCTTGCTGGTCGCCCCTGCTGCTGCTCTCCCCTCTCGCGGCCATTCTGGTTTCAAGGCTTGCAAAGGCCTGCGCCGCTTCGCATGCCCGTTCCCCTCGCGGCTCTCGGGCAGTGGAGCGCGGCACTGGTTTCAGTCTGGGCCAGTCGTTGCCCCGCCTGCCCGGCCTGCCCTCCCTGCGGGTCCGTCAACGTCACCTGCGGCAATTGCCCGCCGGCGCTCGTCGTGGCTTGCCCAGCTGCGCCGGACGTGCGGCCCTGCCCCGAGCTGTCCTGCCCGATCCCTGTCCCGCCGTCGCTGGACTGGGTCTCGTGGCTGGTGCTGGGCTGGATCCTGGGCGTGCTGTGCGCCGTGGCGGCGCTGGCTGCCTGCGCCCCCGTCGCGGCCATCCTGCACGGGTTCACCTCGCGGGCGGCGGCTCGTCCGCCAGGCGACGGCGCTGCCGCCCCTGCCTCCTGGCCTAGGGCCATCCGAGGCTGATGGCTCGCGCGGGGGCCGAGACCCTCGACATCTCCGAGAGCCAGGTGTGCATCGCGTTCGACGACGACCCGAATTTCCGATGGCACCACAGGGTCTTATTGGTTCCCTCGCCTACGCCGGGGCACTGGGTCGCCGCCACGCCCGACGCCGAGATCTACCTCCTGAAGCTGGACGAGTACCTGGTGGTCGCCCTTCCTCGGGCGGCCGCTTTCCCCCAGCGTGTTCGAGGCCAGGTCTACGCGTTCGGAGCCCTCTCGGACGCCGACCTCTCCAACCTCCGTCGCGATGGCCGCAACTTCGCGAAGGTGCTGGGCTTCCCTCTCCCCGCGGTGCAAGCGGGGGTCGACGTCCCCAGGTGGATCGTCTCCGACCCTGCGAGCGACCACTTCGGGGAGGAGGTGAGCCTGGAGCTGATCACCTCGGCGGAGCGCTTCATCAGCCGCGACGCCGTCGCGCTGGTGATGTTGTCGGAGGCCGAGGGCTGGGTCGCCGCCGAGAACGTCCAGCCCGCCGACGAGCCCGACTGGAAGGCGGAGAAGAGGGCTGGTCCTGGCAGGGACCGCCGTGTGCTGCCGCAGACGGGCGTCTCAGCGCACACCGTCTCCCTGGCGCAGCTGGTGGCCCTGCTGAAGAGCGTGGAGGTCGACGACTGGCCCTTCGAGGGCCCCAAGGCCCTGGTCGAGTTTCTGGCGGCCGTGGTCTCTTCTGGGCACTCGCTCTCGTCCTACTGGGGCTTCTGGGTGGCCCAGTCGGGCGTCGCGCGTGGCAGTGCTGTGGCCCAGGAGCTGAAGAACATCGTCGAGGTCCTGCACCATGCCCTGGTCTTCGACGCGCTGGACGTCTCGAACCTCGCCTCGTTCGAGCTCCTGAGCCGCCGGGGCCTCCAGATCCAGAGGGCGGTCAAGCGGTGCCCTCGCCACCCCTCTTTCGAGGGCCTGGAGCTGATGGTTTCGAGTCGACTCGACGACTCGGGCGGGGCGGTCACCGCCAAGTTCGACGCCTGGGTCGCCGACCAGCAGAAGGCGAGGAGCACCGTGCTCAAGCAGGAGAGGATGTACAGGGAGGAGGCCGACCACGAGGACAAGAAGTACCGCACCGAGCAGAGGGACGAGGCAAGGCCCCCGCGCCCCAAGGCCAAGCCGAAGGGCAAGGCCGGGGCTGGGCCTGGCGGTGCAGGTTAGCGAGCGGGGGGCCTCCGCGCCCCCCCCGGCCGCGGCGGCCCCCGCCGCGGCCGACGGCACACCGCGTCGCCATGGCCTCCTCCCTGGACCGCGGCTGCCCCCCCGTCGAGGGTTCCTCCTCGCGGGGGCCACCCCCTTTGTTCCCGCTTCCGGTCACGGACGCCTTCTACTCGCATCCGCCACGTGGGGAACGTACCGCTTTGCCTCGGTATAAGGCGCAGCGTGCTGCCGCCGCTGATCGTCGTTCGGCCTGTGCCATCGAGACGATCACGACCCTCAATGGGATGGCCGCCGCTTGTGCTGGGAGGGATGTCGTGCTTCGGCCCCCTCAGAGGACTGGGAGCGCCGACATCGCTCAAGAGTCGGCGCTCAGGCGCATCCGCCGTCGGATTGGTGCCTTCGGAGATCGGCCCGCTGACATGGATGGCGCTGGAGCCCTACAGGAGCTCCTCAAGACCAGGGACGTCTACGGCGGCCTCGACGCGTCCACCACTGTGGTCGATTTTGATCCGAGCCGCCTCAACATCCTACGTAAGGAACATTTTTCAACGCCACTCGACGACGTGGCCCCCCAGAGCGTCAGGGATGTGATGGCCAACTTCGACTCGGCCGTCGTCCGCCCGCTCTCCGAGCTCACCGAGGACGAGCCGCTGGTGCAGCCCTACTGGGACCCTCAGCTTGACCCTCGCCGGCGCGGCACTCGCCCTGCGCTCGTGGCCTTTCTTCGCGCTCTGGCCCTTCGGGGGCTCGCGGGTGCTCGGGCCCGTCGGAAGTCGTGCATCTCCGCGTTCTTCGTGCGAAAGAAGAACGGGGATCAGAGGATGGTGCTGGACGCTCGGCAGGCTAATCAACTGCAGCGACTCCCGCCCAAGACCGCGCTGGCCTCGGGAGAGGCACTCGCGGCCATCAACCTCGTGGACGCCACCGACCTCGGCCCCGACAACCTCGACATCGTGATCAACGGGGGCGACCTGGTGGCCGGCTCGGTGGACCTGCAGGACGGCTTCTACCAGTTCCGCCACCCGGCCTGGGGCTCCTGGATGTGCTTCGACATCGAGGTGTCCGCTGGCGAGCTGGGGTTGACTCAGCTGTACGACGAGGACCTCGGCCGCTACGTCGACATCAGCCCAGACTCTCGGGTCTGGCCCTGTTTCGAGGCCCTTCCCATGGGTTGGTCCTGGGCCTTGTGGATCTGCCAGGAGGTCCTGATCGACACCATGAGTGCCGTCTTCGGGGAGAAGGACTCCTGGTGCCTGGACAAGGGCAAGCCGCCCTCCCTGCTGAACGGGGGGGTCGCCCACGCGCCCTACGTCGACAACGCGAACCTCATCTCCCTGGACGCGGCCCAGCTCGACCAGCGCCTCGGCGCCGTGACGGACGAGCTGGACAAGAGGGGGCTGCGCTGGCACGAGCTGCAGCATGCCACCTTGTCTCAGGGTATCCTCGGTCTCGAGTTCGACGGGCGTCACGGGCGCCTTCGCCACACCTCTCGGCGGGCATGGCGCCTGTATCTTGGTTTACACGAGGTTCTACGCAGGCCGTGGCTGGCCCGCTGGCAGGTCAGGAGGTTGTTGGGACACGTCGTGCACTACTTCAGCATCATGCGACCTGCCCTCAGTGTACTGGGCGAGTGCTACGCCTACCTCGAGTCTGGTCCGATGGAGGGCGTCTCGCGTTTGCCGCCCGGCGTGGTGACGGAGCTTCGCTGCGCCGCTGGCCTCGTTTTTCTTGGCCAGGTGGGCCTGCGCCGACCCCCTGCGTCAGTGTCTTTCACCACGGACAGCTCAATGCTGGGCTACGCCGTCTGCGAGGCCGAGCTCTTGGGGCACGAGGTCCTTGGCGTGTCGCGGTGGCGCGAGAGGCAACGCTTCAAGGAGGTCGAGGTCTCGGGCGACCCCGACAGGGAGGCCTACCTGGGCCGCGCTGCGGGGCTGGACGACGTCTCCGACCTGCACTACGACGAGCTCGGCGACGCAGGCGCGGGCCGGCCCCGCCGACAGGCGCGAGCCCGCCGCCGCCGGCAGGAGATGGAGGTGGGCCACCCCCCGCCCCCGCTGCCGCCCGAGCTGGTCGACCCGCAGCGGTGGGCCGAGGCCTTCCGTGGCGCCTGGCGCCATCCAGGTCGGATCCACAGCCTGGAGGCGCGGGCCTCGGTGATCGGTCTGGGGGCTGCCGCCCGGCAGGCCAACTGCCATGGGACCGAGCTCCTGAGCCTCTCTGACAACCTCTCCAGCGTGCTGTCCTTCGAGAAGGGCCGAGCCAGCAACCGAGAGCTCCTCGCCCAATGTCGTCGTGCTGGCGCCCTGCAGCTGGGTGCCGAGATCACCTGGCGAGTGCGACACGTTCCAGGATGTGTGAACGTGGCCGACTGGGGGAGCCGGGCCGCCGACCGCCGCGAGCTCCTGCCTGGCTGGATCCGCGGTGCCGGCTTCAGGGCCTGCGTGCCGGCCCCCAGCAGGTGCGCGCCCGTCCTGAGGCCCAGCGGCAGCTTGCCCGGTCCCGGGCCTGACGTGCCCGGGCCCTGCCCCGTCGCCAGCGTCGCCTTCGCGACTCGGCCGACCTCGAGCCGCGTCTCCGAGCCGCCAGGGCTCGGGGAGAAACCTATTGGTTGCACTGGACAGTGGAGCGAGGACCTCGCACAAGGGATCATCCTCTCTACCACCCCAGCTGAGTCGGTGCTCCCGTCCTGTCCTTCCCATCCTCCATCGTGCTCTACTTCGTCGACACCATTTACAGGTTATCGCTCGCAGATCGGGTCATCAAGCTCTACGTCGGGTCACTGGCCTCATAGTGGGACTCCAACGGCATCGGCTCATCAGCGACCCCTGGCTGGGCCCCCGGCTTCCTCGGCTTCTTGGGCGTCGTGGGCCAGGCCATCGGCAGCAACGCCAAGTCAAGGTCCCCAAACTGGGTCATCCAGTTCTTCAGCGCCTCCTCGGGCTTGCAGCGGGCCTCGCAAGTGGCGCTCCTCGGGGTCTTCGTCTACGGCCCCGCGGGGCCACCGTACTGGGCGTACTAGCATCCTGGAATTATTTGCCGGAGGCGCTAACCTATCGGGGGCCTTCCACGAGGCCGGTCTTCGCATCGCATGCCCTCTGGACATCACACACGGCAAGCATCGCGACCTCACGCATCCTGGAGTCCGTAACGCTGTCTTGGCTTGGATTACCCAGCGCCGTTTCTGGTGCATACATATCGGCCTTCCGTGTACCCACTGGGTGCCGGCCGGGGGCAGTCGCCCCCCTCGGCCGGCAGACCTCGCTCTTGTCAATTTCGCCGTGCGGGTGCTGAAGCTCTGCAGGAAACTCGACATTTTTGTCCTCCTCGAGAACCCTGGCCCCAGCCGTGTTTGGCGCTGGCGTCCCCTGGAGAGGGAGCTCCGCTACCACAGGCCCGGCAGGAGTGCGATTCCTGCCGCTTCGGGGCGCCCTTCAAGAAGCCGGGGGCGATCGCCGGCACCTTCCCCGACCTAGAGCCGCTGGGCCGCCGCTGTCAGTGCTGCCAGCCGCATCGCGAGGTTCTCCAGGGCAAAGTCCGACATCCGACGAGAGGTTGGGTTTGGCGGACTACCTTGGCCGGCGCGTACCTCCCAGAGTGGTGCCGAGAGCTCGTGCGCATCGCCTCCCTCTCCGCCCCGAGGTCCGCCTATGGCCGAGCCACGCCCAGAGACCTCGCGACATGGGATGGGGTCCTGGCAGCCGCGTCGGGCGAGGTCCGCCTCCGCGCCCCAGGGCTCCCGCTCTGCCCGCAGAGGTTCAGGCTCCCCTGGCGAGCCGCCTGGGCCTCCGCGCTCGACCCGCGCCCCCGCCCCGCGGGCGGCGGGCGGGCCTCGCGGCGCCGCCCCGCCCCCAGGTGGAGGCCGGGCGCCGGGCCGCCGGGCACTGGCGGCGGAGCGCCGCAGGCGAGCTGCGGCAGCCGTGGACCGCGCCGAACAGCAGCGGCAAGCCCGTCGAGTCCCTCCAGGGGATTTCCTACGCACGGCCTCGTTGCGGCCAGCGACCCTGACAAAGCATCAGCAGGCTGTCGCCGACTTCGAGGCCTGGGCACGACGCAGGCGTCTTCTCTTTGACGATCCCAAGTGCGCCGGCACGACAATGAACCTGTACATCGAGCACCTCTTTTTCTCTGGTTCACCTCAGTACATGGCTCGCAATGCTCTCTACGGCCTTGCCCGACTACGTGGATGGGCAGTGGCCAAGCCTCAATTCGTGCGATCCAAGGACGCCCTGGCGGGATGGTGTGCCAAGCTGCCTCGGCATCCTAGGATGCCCGCCCCCTTCGACGCCGTGGTCGCCTGCATGGCGGCCCTCTCGGAGCGCTCGCCTCTGGGCGCCCTCGCTGCCGTGGCCATGATCGTCCAGTTCGATCTGTACTTGCGGCCCAGTGAGGTGCTCTCCATCACGGCAGGCGACGTCCACGGGAGCGCAGGGGGCCAGGTCTCCGTCATCATCGCGCCTCTCACAGGCGGAGTGCCCTCCAAGACGAATGAGTTCGACCGCACTGTCGTTGCTGGCACGCCTGTCCCTCTCAGGCGCCAGGTTCCCGCTGCGCTGCTTGCCCTTCGTTGGGGCCGAGCAGACGCAGCCAAGCTTTTTGCTCCTTTGAATCTCAGTGCATACGAGAGGATAGTGCGAGGAGTGGCCTCCGACTTAGGCCTTTGCCACGTCTTCTCTGTGCCTCACCAGCTTCGGCACGGAGGCCCCTCGCATGATGCCTTGGAGCATTTGCGCAGCCTGGATCAGATCCAGCAGCGAGGAAGATGGCGCGCACGAGAGTCAGTGCGCATCTATGAAAAGCACGGCTCTCTCTTGCGTCAGCGTGCGGCCGTGCCCGCCGCCGTCCGCCAACGTGCTGCCCATTTCTCGGCGGCGGACCTGCGGCACCTCGTCTCTCGCGTGGCCTGTTCGAGTAAGGTGCCCAGCTAATCTTCTTCCTTTCTCTCTTTTTTCTTCCCAACCCGCCCGCCCAATGACAAATGATTTGGGGGTGGGAGCCAATGCTACGCAGTCTTTTCTGGCAATTTGATCCGGGCCCGGGTCCTTTTCCCAATAGCTGCCACGCAAGCTCAGCATTATAGAATCTCAAGTGCACCTCGCCCTGTGAAAGGACGCGTCCTCAGCAAAAAGGATCGTCCGTCTCAGGTATGTCGAATGGTGGCCGCGCCTAGCTTGAGGAATGATTATCTTTGGATGCAGTTTTCCTCCGCGTCGAGCGGCCAAGCGAGAGGGTCTCCACCCCTTCCTTCTTTCTCCCTTGCTGGTCGCCCCTGCTGCTGCTCTCCCCTCTCGCGGCCATTCTGGTTTCAAGGCTTCCCCCCCTACCCACCCTGGGGAGCCAATGCTACGCAGTCTTTTCTAGCAATGTGATCCGGGCCCGGGTCCTTTTCCCAATAGCTGCCACGCAAGCTCAGCATTATAGAATCTCAAGTGCACCTCGTCCTGTGTAAGGACGCGTCCTCAGCAAAAAGGATCGTCCGTCTCAGGTATGTCGAATGGTGGCCGCGCCTAGCTTGAGGAAAAACAATGAATTCGGCCTTTTCGGGCCCTCCTGGAGGCCTTCTTGGATGCCTCTTGGGCCGTCTTGGGCCATCTTAAGACAATCTTCGGCCGTCTTGGTGGGCGCCTGGCCCGTCTTACGCCGTCGTAAGCCGTTTGGGGGTCTCTCTGGGCCGACTTGGGGCCCTCTTGGAATGCTCCAGGGCCGTCTTAGAGGCCATCTTGGGCGTCTTAAAGGCCTCCTTGGCCGTCTTGGGGACCTCTAGGGGCCGTCTTGTGGGCCTCTTGGGCCGTGCTGGGGCCATCTTGGAGGATGCTTGGGCGATCGTTGGGCGATCTTTGGGGGCTCTTGGGCAGTCTCGGGCCGTCGGAAGGCCGAAAAAGGCAAATGTCAAAACCGTTCAAAAACCTTAGGAACACTTATGTTTTGGGCCTTTTTCTGCCCTTCCTGGAGGCCCTCTTGGAGGCCTCTTGCGCAGTCTTGGGCCAGCTTCGAGCCAACTTCGGCCATCTTGGTGGGTTCCTGGCACGTCTGACGCCATCGGGAGCCGTCTTGGGGGCCTCTCTTGGCCGACTTGGCGCGCTTCGGGGCCGTCTAGGATGCCATGTTGGGCGTCTTGGAGGCCTCTTGGCCCGCCTTGGGGCCCTCTTGAGGCCGTCTTGGGGGCCTCTTGGGCAGTCCTGAGGCCATCTTGGAGGCCTCTTGGGTGCTGAGGGGGCGATCTTGGGGGCCCCTTGGGCCGTCTTGAGGATCAATGATTTAGGACTCTTCGGGTCCTCCCGGGGGACCTCTTGGAGGCCTCTTGGGTCGTGTTGGGCCGTCTTGAAGGCTTCTTGGGCAAACTTGGAGGTATCTTGGACTCTCTTTGGCCGTCTTGGAGGCCGTCTTGGACCATCTTGAGCAAAATTGGAGGCCATCTTGGACCATCTTGGAGGCCATCTTTGGCCAACGTGGCCATCTTGGAGGCCATCTGGAGCCGTCTTGGCGGATTTTTCCAGAATTGGGGATTTTTCAGGTGGCCGGCGGGACGGGCCGAAGTCCCAGGAGTTTTTTTTTTTTTTGGAAAAAGAACCAGAACCAAAACCGAAGGGATCCAGCACGCCAGGCACCCCTGCGACGAATCGACAGGGGGCGGCGGATCTGTGGCCTCTGGCCCATCCCGCCACCGTACCTGGGTCTTGGGTCTGAGGCGTGTTGGAGGGTCGCCGGGATCTCGTCGAGGCCTCTCTCGGGGGCCCCGCGGAAATGCAGTTTTGATGCCTCCGGGGGGGGTGCTCTGGGACCGTTTGGGGCCTCTTGTGGGCCTCGTCGGGGCTTCGCATGGGGCCCCGTGGGGGCCCCTTTGTGGGGCCTCTTGGGGGGCTCTTGGGGGGGGGGACCGTCGTCATTTTGGCTCAAGCCATGGCGGCTCAAGCGCCAGAGCGCGACGCACCTCCCGCCGAGCGGCCCCTCGCGCTCCCGCACGCCCCCAGAGGCGCTGCCGCCAGCGAGCGGGCCGTGCAGTGCACGGACGCCGCCGCGCAGGCCCCCGCCGAGGCCCCCGCCAGAGACGGCGTCGCTGCCGGGCTCCGATGAAGGGGCCCTGAAACACACAAATGAATACACACAAATAAAAGGATTCCACACATTTTTCCACATATTTTCTAGGTTTTTGTCTTCCCCCCCTCTTCCCATATTTTTCCATATTTTCCTGGGGATCGACGATTACTTGTGTCTGTGTGTTTTTTCCCTCCTGATCCGAGGGGGAGTCCGGGGAGCCGGAGTCGGGGGAGGGTTCGGAATCGGAGGAGACGGTGCCGGAGCCGGCCCTACAGTCGGGGCGCTGAAGAAGGAACCCTTTGCGTTGGGGAGGGGCTGGGTGTTCCTTGATTGTTCCACGCCTTGCCAAAGATTTTCCTTGAATTTTCGACGGGGCGTCGAAGTTTCCCTTATGGAAGAAAAGGGGCATCGTTCCTTATTTAGGGTTCCTTAGGTCAGCGCCTCGACTGTAATCCAAAAGCCCGAACAAAGGAATTTAGGATTTACCGGAAAAGGGGAAACAACAACTCTTTTGAACGCGCAGAGGGGGTGAAGATGATGGCTGGGCGCTCCGTTGAACGATCCAGGTGAGGAGAAGATGACGTTGTTGTTCCGTCCGCTCGAGCGGTGCAGCGCACCCGCCACTGCGGTTTCGCAGGCCCTCAGCTCCACCAGTACTCCACGTGCGCGCGCGTCCACGCCCCCGTCCAGACGCATGGGGCGACAGCCCCTGCCTGCAGTTCCCCCCCGGCGGCTGGCGCGGAGGGCGCGCCGGCCACGCCGCGGGCCCCCCGAGCGAGGGAACCGCCGACGCTGGCAGTCGTGCCACCCGCCGGCGCAGGCACCGCGTGCGCCCCTTGCGTGGCGCTCGTGCGCGCGGCGCTGGAGCTGGCGGTGCTACGGAGCCCCCTGGTCGAGGCGGCCGGGGAGAGCGAGGTCCGGCTTCGATGGACAGCAGCGGAGGCTCAGAGAGCTCCCCGAGTGTCCCGACGGCCTCCCTGGTTCTTCCGTCTGGGATGGGTCGACCGGCCATCGTGGGCGCTGGGTTGACACACCGCTACCGATGCCGAGGCTGACAATCCGGGCGCTGCGGCCGCGAGGGCGGCCGACCGATGCGTCGTGGTCGCGCCTCCCCGACAGCGGCCGGCGTGGACCGCGTCGCGCAGCGGGCCCAGCAGGACTGGAAAGGCCCGCAGGCGGCAGCTCACGCCGTCGGATGGCAGCTTCGCGCCGAGCGCCCTGGCGGCTTCGTTTGCCTCGGCCAGGGGAGCGGACTTCGCCGACGCGGCGCCGGCGGTCGCTGTCCGAGTGCGGCTTCGGCGCGCCGCGACCTCCCAGGGGCCATGGTCCCTCGGTCGAGGGCGGGCCGAGGCTGGCCGCCGGCCTGGAAGTGTGGCCGTTGGCCGGCGGCGCAGCGGCACCTTCGACATCGAACGCGCGCCGGCGCAGCCTAGTGCAGGCGGCGACGGCCGCAGCGGCGGCCCAGGGCGCGCCGCCCGCTTCTCTCCCTCCCAGGGCGCCCCCAGTGCAAGTAGAGGCTCTGGAGCCAAAGGTCGTGCGGGTCGAGGCCCTCCCGCCCGTGGCGCCCTCGGTTGAGGTCGGTGGGGGGGGCGGCGCCGGCCCCCTTGCTTCCCGAGGCGCCCCCTGCGGAGGTGGTGGTTCCCGGCTGTGGGGTGGAGGTCGCGCGGCTCTTCCTGCGGAGGTGGAGCGAGTGGGTCCCAAGGCCGTCGGCTCCGCTAGCGTAGCAGTGACTACAGGCTGGGGTCTGCAGCGCTGCCGCACAGCTGGAGGCTGCTTTCCTCTCTCGGGACTCCTGGGACGCCCCCAGTGATGGTTGAGGCGGTAGCTGCCGCTTGAGGCGGCCGCAGCAGTCGCCGCGCAGCTTGAGGCTGCCCTCCCTCTCGTGCCAGGCCAGGTGCAGGTTGAGAAGCGCGCGCGGCGCGCTGCCTGCGGCCAGCGGCGGCTGAGTGCGCGCGTGCGCGCGAGTTCCCTCGCTCCACCGTTGGAAGTTCCACCTTCTCCTTCCCCCCTCGTTCCCTCTCCCGCCCCGCCCTGTCGTTCGTCGGTCCTCTGTCGCTCGTCTGTCACGTCGGGCTGCTGGGCTCCGCTTGCGCTTGCAAAAATGATTGTCGGCATGTGATTAACAAAATCGGAAAGTGAAACATAAACATTACCAGTGGCGGGCTGTTTTTCAATCCCAGGACTTCTTGAGGGTCGAGGACGACGCTGGGGTGGTGTGGTGTATAGTTTTACCCCGATGCCCCGGGGCAACAGCGAAACATGTATACTCCAGGGTCCCGTACAAACCAGGATCCGCTCTCCAGTGCAAATTCCAATGCAGGGCCGGAAGACGCGTCGGCGTATAGAGTTCGATTCCCTACAAAAGGCCCCCCCCCGCCCCCCGGGGCTGATGAATATAATCTGCGGAGCGCGAGGCTTTTTTCTTAATCACGCAAGCCAGGGGGTCGTCGCTGGCGCCGCTGAGGGGATCGTGTACCCCGCCCGCTTGACAGCCTCAAAAACTATTGTCTTTCGTATAGAAGTTCTTCTAAGGGTCGTACACATCCGAGGCGAATTTTCGTTGCACCTCTCAGGCGTCGTCGTCGTCGGTCGTCGTCGACGTCGTCGCCGCCGCCGCCGTTGTCGTCGTCGTCGTCGTCGTCGTCTTTCTCTTCGTCTTTTTCTTCGTCTTTTTCTTCGTCGTCTTTGCTTGCCGTCTTCGTCGTCCGCATCTTCGTCTTCGCCTTCTTAGTTGTCGTCGTCGTCGTCGTCGTCGTCGTCGACTACAGCGGGCCTGCGCAGCACCCCCCCCCCATAGGGCATCCTCAGTGTGTCGTCGTCGCCGCCGCCGTCGCCGTCTGCCGTCCGCCCGCCGTCCGTCGTCTTCGTCTTCGTCCCGTCGTCATCGTCGTCGTGTCGTCGTCGTCGTCGACGAAGAGAGCGGCCGCTGGAAACGGGCACACGCAGGGCGGGGGACGGCGGCAACGACGGCGACAAAGGGGGGGAGGAGGACTACCCGCCTTGCTCGGGTCGGACGAAAAGCTGGGGAAGGAAAGGGGGAATTGCAAAGCCTGCTGCGCGCAGCTGGTTTCGGTCGCCCCGCAAAAGGGCCAATCCTCGACGCACGGCCGCTTTCGGCGCCAGGAGGTGTTTGGAAAATCGGCGATGTGAGCTGCTCGGCAAATCCCCAGTTAGCTGCGCCCCGGTTTCGTCCAGCCCGCCTCGCCCGCAGGCTCGCATCGGCTCGACAAAAACAGGGGCGCCTTGCTCGCCGTTGCTTCCAACTCCCCCCCTTGCCCCTCGTTGGCGGCCGGGCGTCGGCGCTAACCACCGGCGCCGCCCCGTCGATTTTCAATCAGGCGGGCGCCCCCCCGCAATTCGCCCGAGCACGGGATTTGTTAATCACAAGCTGACATCACGGGGGCGTTTTGGTGTGTCTTGAAGTTTTCTGGCGGCCCCTCGGGGCCTCCTAGGGTTTTTTTTGAAACGGAAGGCTCGAATTTTCGGCGCGTGCCCCCCATCCCCCTCTCTCTCCTGGGCCTCTCTTGGGGTCTGTGTGGGCTGTTTTGGACGCCTCTTCGGCCGTGTTGGGCCCCTCCTGTACTGTTTTGAAAACCTCTTGGGGGCCTTTTTATGCCGCGCGTGTGGGAGGGAATTTTTGGGCCGTCTCGGGCCGTCGTGACACCGAGAAAGCGGTAAAATCAACTTGTTTCACACACCGTCGCAACGTTACTCTTAACATCCAGGGACCGTTTTGGGAGGCCTCTTAGGGTTCTCTCTGACTGTCCCGGGGGCCTCTTGGACCGTCGTGGAGCCATTTTTAGCGCATTGGGGCGGTATTTCAACGACTTGGGCCGTCTAGAAGGTCTTTTTGGGATGCTTTCTTCGGCTCCGAAAAAGTTGGTGCGGGGAATTCGCCGCGGCTGGGGGGCACGCGGCAGGCCCAAGGATATTTGGCAATATGGGGTGCGAGACTTTGAAGACCCTCAGGAACGAGGATTGAGGCTCAGAGGGTTCGTCGAAAGACCCGAAGACACGCCCATTCGTTGCCGGAGGGCACGGTGGTTGATAATGTACATACGCCCGCATGTTTAATTGTATGTATGTATGTTTGTATGTATGTCTGCCTGTCTGTATCTAAGTACGTATGTATGTACGTATGTATGTACGTATGCGTGTATATCCTTGGGCCTTGCGCCGAACTACCCAGGTCTCCTCCCCCCTCCCGGTGAGGAGAACAGGAAGAGCGGCTTCGGGAAGATGACCTACAAGAACCTCAAGGGCGAGGACGACGAAGAAGAGGCGGAGGACGAGGACGCCACGCGTTGCGTGCGTTTGTTTCCCCTATCGGAGGGAATCCTTGGTCGTCCGTCGCCGTGCCGTTGAAAGCACGGGCGATTACAACCAACTCGTGTTTGCCATGATCCAAAAAACCACACCAGAAAACACACCGCATACACATCAATCTGTCGGAGATCCGTGCGCATTGTTTTGATCGGATGTGGATTTTCTCCCTGTGGAGCTGGACGCAGCACCAAGGGGGCCCCGGGCCGATCCGGGAAATCCGCGCGGGTTTCCGGAAGGTCATTGTCTATTCCAGAATTGGTTTAAACGACGCGAAGATCGGGACAAAATCGGATCGGGATAACTCGAAATCTCTCAGAATCGGCGGTTTTGGAGGATGTATTGGGCGCAGCGGCCGCTCCAGAGCGTTCCGGAACGCTCTGAGAGCGCTCCGGAACGCTCTGGAGGGATTTATCCCGATCCTGGCTCTGTTTTACTGGTTTCGCCCAGCACCCACACACACCGACGCCGCACGCAAGCAAGCCTACCGATCGGAGCAGGCGCAGCGCCGGCTTCCGCGCTCTCCGCGACGCGGCGGCCCGAGGCGGCATTCGGGCGCTCCACGGAGGAAGCATCAATCAGCCCACTTCGGGGGGCGAGGCGAGCTGGCAAGGGAACGGGTTCATGGGTTCCCAGGAGCATGCCGCCCTCGGTGCCCCCTTCAGGATGGGGAGGAGGGGAAGAGGGGGAAGAGGGGGAAGAGGGGGAGGGGGGGGCGCGGAGGGGGCGGGAGAGGAGGCGCGGGACAACATGCCAGCGGGGGCAGGCTTCGAGGGTGAGCTGGAGGGCCAGGGAGCCGCAAGCATCCTGGCCGAAACGACGCGCGGCGCTCTCTCCTGGAGACCGCGGGCCGCCGACTCTTTCAAGCGTACCCCGACCAGGCTCTTCTCTGGTACGCCGACCTTCCGTAGGCTGCGGTGTAGGACCGCCTGCGCGCGCACAAGACTTTGCGATCCCCACGCAAGAGTGCGAGGCGGGATACCCTGCGTCAAGCAGTGGCGAAGTGTCCTGGCTTGCTTATGGACCCACCACAGAATGTGTTCAAAACCTTTTGTGATTTGCGCGCAATGTTCTCCGAACAGTTCTGGCTGAGACCGTCTTGTTTTCATCCACCCGGTTTGCGTTCTAAGAGCATAGTTCTCGTTTTTCGAACATTTGTGGGTTCTAAGCACATGCTGCGGTATGCCTCAAGGAATACGGGGACGGTCTGTCCCTGTTCATCTGGGAGCACCGCTAGGGCTTGGCGGCGGCGTATCTATGTTGTCGTCAGTCGTCGAAGGCACGAGGCGGGATACCGCACAGAGCATCCGCACACTTGAGGCCTGGATGCCGCCAACTGCAAGGCACGCAAGACGGGTCGCGGGGTTTCTTTGTCAGGGGGACCAGCGGCATGGGGGTGGTGCAATAGATTTGGTGCAATAGATTTGTGGGATGGCAATAGATTTGGGGCGTGCAATGAATTTCGGGGCGCAAATGTATGCTGGGTTCCGCGGGCAATGCAGTAGTTGCAATACAATGCAAAACAATTCTCCGGCGCAATACATATGCAATACAGTTGCTCCCAATAGATTGCATCACCACTTTTCAGCCGGACCCCATTTTTGTTGTCACACCCAGACCTTTGCCAATTCAAACAGCACCAAGCTGTCCGGTGGGGAACTGAGCACAAGCCCTGCGATCTGTGCAGGCGAGCGCTCCCTGCACGCCTGCTTCTGCTCGGAGCTCGGGCCGCGTCTTGGTACATGTGCGCCGATCCGCGGGCTCCTGGCAGGAGTCCTGCTCGCCGGGGGCTTGCGCGGCAGAGCCGCTGGCCCTCTGCCTCTCCCCGGGGTTTTTGGATTTTTGTCGGGAGAGTGTCTCGGTCCTCTGTTGTGCGTGCAAGTTCTTCGGCACCGCCTGTGCTCTGCACCCTCCGGCCGCCTGAGGCCCCGCCCGCCCGCGCCCTGTCTCCCCAATTAGGGCTTCGCGCGCCCCGCCTGGCTCTTGACCGGAAGGGGCCCGCTCCCTACCCGCCGACCAAAAAGTTGCAGTCCTCTGTCGCGTAGCAGGCTTTAGTTGCCAGGGCCAGACCCTCTTCCTCCCCCAGGGTGACGGCTGCTCTCGTGCGTGGGGAGGGGGCCTCGGAGCCCCCGGTTGCTGGCGTGCTCTCGCGCACACTCTCTGGCGATCGCAACCCACCCCCTTCCCGACGTGAGCCAACTCGCCCAATGACGAACGGACAACACACACCCATACCCATAGGGGGGTCGGCGGGAGGAGGACTTGCTATGGGTATGGGTGCGGGTTGTCGGACCGCGGGGGAGGCTCCCGTTCGAGCGGGGACCCCATCTGACAACACGCACCCATAGCCCCCTTCCGTCCTCTCTATGGGTATGGGTGCGTGTTGTTCGTTCGTCACCCAAGCTTTGGCGTCGCGTTGCCCGGGGCCCCAGCCTTTCCCCCTCAGGTAACGACCGTCTCCGGAAACAGGATTGGATCAACATCCGGGACGTGCTGTTCTGCGTCTGCTCCGCTCCGCTGGGCCCTCGCTGGATGCCTCTGGGACCGCTGGAGTGCGCTCCCACACTCTGAGCTGACGCCCCCCCCTCGGGAGCGTGGGGATCGGTCGCGTGTGGCGGGAGCGCCTGGGAGTCGATTGCCAGGGTTCGGGCCGACCGAATGGGGGGGATTGGGAAAGGGGGGGTTACGAAATTTGCTGAGCCTTGGGGGTTGGGGAAGGGGGATTGGGAACGGGGGGAAAATCAGCTACGTGAGCTGATTCTCGAGCCCCCCCTGTGCTGTCCCCCCCTTTCGCCCGACCCGAAGAGTGTCCCCTCTCGCCGTCCGCATGCACGTTGGCCTGCACGGTGGCTTAGGCGAAGCAAATGCCTGCGTTCGGGTTGGCTTCCTTCTGTGTCGATGTACGCCTGCTGGGCTGCTTTCCCGGTGCGCGCGGGCGCCTCTGGCGCTGCCCCCCTGGCGCGCCTCCAGCGGCGCCCCTGGAGCGCTGCGCGCGCCAAGGAGGGGGGTCCAGCGCCTATCCAAGAAATCCATGCGGACCTCCGAGAAATCATTTTTATGTTGCGCGTCATGCATTTCTTTGTCTCTCTCTCTCTCTCTCTCTTTCTCCGTCTCTCTCTTTCTCTCTCTCTCTCTCTGTCTCCCACCACGCTACCCTTGTCCCCATCGATCATTTCGCGCTGGCACCCGCGTGGTGCTGCTATCGGTATGCTCAGAGGCTCGCACGCTGTTGTGGCGTTCGCAGCCATGTTGTCGTGCTCACAGCCATAGTATGGCACTTGCAGGCCATGGTGGCGTTGTGGTGATGAGCTCACAGGCATGGTCTGGCCCTTGCAGGCTGGTGTGGTGTTTGCAGCCGCACAGGCAGTACTCGCTTGCATATTGCGGCGCCTGCGCGCTTTTGGGGTAATGGCATGGACCAGTGTACGGTTTCGCGTACATGTGGTGGTCGCAGGCCATTGTTGTACTTACAATGTTTATTTCCCTTCGATGTGCGATCGTCCCTAGAACACTGTGCTACGCACTGGCACATCGAGCACCTTCCCTTTCTGCCCTTCAGCCTCCTCCCTCCCTCCATCCGTCCTCCTTGCTCCCTCCCTCCCTCCTCCGTCCCTCCTCCACCCCCTTTCTTCCCCACCGACTGTGGCGATCACCGTATGCTCGTCTTCTCCCTCCTCCACCCTCCTTCCTCTTTCCGATTCTATTGGTGCTCACTCCAGTGTTCACAGTCACCGTGCTGGTGCTCGGAGGCCACTGGTGTTCACAGGCACCGCGATGGTGTTTGCAGTTCGCAGGCACCGAGTGGTGTAGCATCCGCAGCAAGTCTATTAGCAAGCGTAGTGTGGTACTCGCACGTTCACAGGCGCCCAGGCGCATTGCTGGGGCTCGCGTGCATCCTGTGGCACTCGCAGGCTATTGTGAGATGTGCAGGGTCCAGCAAGTCGTTGTGCTTGCATACATGGGGTGCGCAGAAACGCGAAATCGTCGTCGTTGTCGTCAGGAGCCGCCAACCTACGTTCCGTTGCACATGCGGTCGTGGTGCGCGTTGGCACGGTGCCCTGGAAGCGTCGCCGTCGTCGTCGTCGTCGTCGTCGTCGTCGTCCGCTTGGTGTCTGCACACGGGGGAGATACCGCCGGGGGGATGCGTCGCGTTACCCCCACCCCCTCCATTCCACGCGCGTTATTGACAGAAAGAAACCCCTCCCTGGTGTTCGGATGCATCTCCTGGGAGGAAACAACATTCTGACTTTGCCCTGGTCCGAAATCTGGCTTAATCGAGATGAATCCTGTTTAATCTGGCTTAATGTCGTTTAATCTGGTATGCTCCCGCTGAATCCCGCTATTTAATCCGCGGCCTATATTCTGGCGTAGCAATTGGGTTCAATTCTCCCGAGTCCTTCCGACGAAGACCTTCCAGTAGTTGCCTCTGGTGCCTCAGCCAATCTTGGAGGTCGCGAGGAGGCCCATGCCAGTCAAGTGTTCGGCGCTGCAGGACGAAGAACAGGCCTCCCTCATATGCTCCGCCTCCTTGCCGTCCCCTCGCCTCCTTCTCTCCTCCCGCCTCCCTCGTCTTCCTCCCATTCTCCTCCCGCCCCCCTCCTTTCATCATCTCCGCCTGGGCGACTTACCACGAGTTTGGACCGACCCCTCACACACGCCGCGACATATGTTCATCACTCTCTTGGTATTTGGTTCCGTGGCACACGCGGCTCCTTCGACCAGACCCAGGTCAGGGGTCTGAGCAAGTCGTGCCCTCCCACTTTGACCACTAGCAGGCGCGAGCATTCAGATCGTACTCCTCGCGACCTGTCTCCAAGGTGCCGAGTTGCAGGCCTTTATCGCTACGTGATGGTTGAGATGCGGGAGCTCCACTACATGGCTGGTTCCGCTCGGAAAGCTTAGACAGGAGCATCCACGGGGCTCGCCTCCTTACACCCAGACCGAGGTCTAAGATCGGGGTAGGTTCGGGGAGGCTACCCCAAGGTTCTTCGTGCTTGCCGGATGCTCTTGAGCATCCGGGGAGGGTGCCCTTGGACATTCTGTCTGTCTTGGCCGACGGGGGGCCCCACGTTCTTGTGGGATGCTCTTCTGGCCTGGGCCCCACTGTATCACGCATCCTTGCTAGCCATTTGGGACCCCGCGCCTCGACGGCGACCGCGACCCTCCCAGGGCGCCGGCGCCGGCGACGGCGACGCCGCGAGCGCCGCCCCGCCCGCCCTCGGGGAGGAGGCGGGCGCCGTCCCGCGCGGCGGCTCGTACGTGGGCAACTACTCCGGGGGCCTCCGGGGCTGCGGGGCGGAGGAGGACGTGGCGGCCACGGCGTCCGACGGCACGCGCCGCCCCCTGCGGCGTCGGCGTCGCGGTCGTCGTCAGCGTGATCGTCGTCGTCGTGATCGTCACCGTCGTCGCCGTCGTCGTCGTCGTCGTCGTCGTCGTCCTCGTCGTCGTCTGTGGTGTGATCGTCGTCATTGTCCTTCCTATTTCTGCCTCCTTTTCTTTCTCGTCAGGACCCTCTTCCACCCACATCCTTTTCTCCTCCGCCATCTTCCCCCATCGCGCGCCCCCGCGCGATGGGGGGAGGAGGGGGAGGAGGAGGAGGAGGAGGAGGAGGAGGAGGAGGAGGATATGCATAATAATAATCATAACACTAATAATAATAGCAAAGATAATAATAATACGCATAAGAAGAAGATAAACTATAATTATGATACCAATAAGAAGAGTAACACTAAGAAATATACTAATAATAACAATGATAATACGAATAAGAAGAATACTACTATAATAATAATAACAATACTAATACTAATAATAATAGTAATAATAATAATAAAAAATAGTAATAATAATAATAATAATAATAATAATAATAATAATAATAATAAGAGGAGGAGGAGGAGGAGGAGGAGGAGGAGGAGGAGGAGGAGGAGGAGGGGGGTGGAGGACGGTGGAGGTGGAGGCTGATGAAGAGGACGAGGAGGGATCAAACGGGAAGGAACAGGAAAAGTGGGTGGGGATGAGGCAGGAGGGGAGGGGAAGACTGAAAAGGGAAGGAGGAGCTGCAAGGGCTGGACTGGATTCGGGGAGTGAGAAGGCAGAGTTGAACGTCGGGGCAATCAGTGCCCAGTCTCTGCGTGGGGGAGGCACCAGCGAGGGCCTCGGCAAGTCGCTTCCTCCTCATGAGCATCCTCGCACTGCACCTCCTAGCCTGCGTCGGCGCCCTGGGCGCCTCCTTGTTTAGTTGCCAGCCCTCGCCCTCCCAGCGTGCCGCTGCCGAGGCGCCTGGCCGCGCCCGCGGGCGCTGCACCGCAAACCCGTGCGCAGGCCTCGGCCGACCGAGCTCCCCGCCTCCCCGCCACTGCCTCCCCGCGGCCTCCCCGGCCCCCCGTCCCCCCGCCGCCGCCCCCCCTCGGCGACCAGCCGCCGCGGCTCAGCTCCGGGAGCCCCGCGTGGGGGGCCGCCGAGGCGGCCGCCGACGAGGCGCCCACACGAGGCACCGGCCTCCTCGGGCCCCTGCGGCCGCCGGGGCCCGCCGCATGCCGCGGCAGAGCCCTCCCGGGGCAGCGGGCGCCGGCCCGGCCGCCCCCGCGGCGGCCTTGCGCGGCAGCCCCGCGGCGGCCCGGAGGGCCAGCGCGCGGGCGCCGCGGCGGCCGCTGCCGCTGCGGCGAGCGCTGGCGCTGGCGTGCCTCGCCGTGCTGGCGCGGGCCGCGGGCGGGCCGCGGGGGGCGCGAGGCGCTGCGGTCGGCCTGGGCTCGGGGCGGTCAGTGGGCGCCTGGAGGCCGCCTGGTGGCGCGCGGGCGGGAGGGGCCGTGCGCAGATCGGCGGCATCAGCATGGGCGGATGGCACAGTCAGTGGCAGCGTCAGGGGGTGATGACTAGGCGCAGGGGTGGTGCATCGCCCCGGGATCGCCCTTGGATCGTCGGCATGGGCCCGGTAGCCCAGCACATCCCAGGACCGTGCGGCTTCGCTGTGCGGGCCTGTCGCCGAAATATCGCGATGTAGCGGCGCTATGGGGCAGGTGACCCGAAGGTCGAAGAACATTTGCGACCATGTGCCAAACCTACCTATACGGGTCCATTTGGCGCTGGGGTATCGGACACCTCGGCTGGGGTTCACTTAGCTGCAGACTTCCTTCAAATTGTAAACCCCAGCCAGGGGTAGGGTTCACATGTGGTTGCCTGAGTCATTTTCCCCAGCAGTGAACCCGAATAGCTGATAGCCCAATCGCGGAAACGGTGAAGAGGCGGGACAGGGGTGAGAGCAGCCAGGACAGGAGTGAGAGCACGGCCATATGGACTCTGGTGCTTTTTTATAGTAAGGGTCCTTGCCGTCCAGACCAACCATGTACAGGCATTGACGCGAGAGCACGATCCCTGAGTGCAGTGTTTGGAAGTGTCAGGCGAGGCGGCTGCCGGATTGTTCGGTCTAGGGCCCCCGTCCCCTTTGTGAGACTGTTCTGTGAACTTTCCCTATTGCCAGTATTGGATCGGACGGGGCTCGGACGAGGATACATCCGCTCCACAGCGTTCTGGAACTCTCTCAGAGCGTTCCGGACCGCTCTGAGAAGGCCGCGGCATCCGATACATCCTTCAGCTTTGCCGGATTTTAGAGATTTTCGGTTTATCCTTACCCGATGTTGTCCTCGTCCTGGCTTCGCCGTCGTGTAGGGAGAAGCGGCATATACACTGGAGACCCGTGACAAGACAAACATCTTGCTTGCCTCCAGGGTGCCTGGAGTTTCTCGGGTTTCGATGGTTTTCCGATGGACCGCGTGACATTCCCACACCGAAAATCGATGGACGTCCTGGGGTCTCAGGGTTGGGTTTCTTGTGGAAGGTTTCTTGTGGTCGGGCCCCGACTGTACATGATTTGTATGAGCTTCGCGCCCTACTTTGTTGGGTCGGCGTTGGGCCCCCCGCCGGCGGAGCCCTCCTGCGCTGGTGTAAGAAGAGTTTTCGCCGACTCAGAGGAGTTTTGCTTGTACTGTTTTTTTTCCGACTCGTCTAAGAGGGGGGTGGCGCGAGGAAGACGGTTTAGAAGGCCGGGGAGCAATCGTGAGGACGGAAGCCCATTTAGAACCAAGCAGTGGTGGAGCGTTCTGGCTCGCCTGTAGGCCCACCGAAGCATGCTCTAGTAGCCTTTTTGTGTGTTGCACGACATATTCCTAGGACGTTTCTGGCTGACACGTCTCGTTTTCACACCTCGGGCTTATGTTCGAAGAACATACATGGTTCTGTCATCAGGTCATTTGTTGGTTCTAAGAACATTTCGTGGTAGGACTATTGGAATTCCGGGACGGTCGGTTCCTGCTCCATAGAAGGGCCGCGGGGTCGTAAGGAGGCCTTTGCGAAGACGGAAGGGTTTCTAAAAGGAGGTCCCTTCCTTCTAAGAGCCCGCGGCACCTTACAGCCAATGCGCCTGGTGAGGACGCGCGCCCTCATCTAGGGTACACTTGTGTCCTTGCCTCTGCGGCCCGTCATTTGCCGTCTTCACTTGCCGCCCGCCGCCCAGCAAGAATCAAGCTTCGACCTCCAGCCCGACGAAGGCATCTATACACCACCACCGTGCCAGACCAGGGCCATCCTGGGCCGCAGGATTGTGTATAGACCCTCCTGGCTCGGCCAGGAGGTCGTATACACCATCCCAGGGCCCAGAATGGCCCTGGCCTGGCACGGTGGTGGTGTATAGATGCTTTCTGCGTATAAAAGGGTCTTACGTCCTTCCCATCCGTCCTGAATCCACGTTTTGATTGTATCCAGGGGCTTCGGTCGCCGACGAGGCCCTCCAGCGCATTCGCGTGTGATGCCCGGCCCTGAAGCGGTGGCCACATCGCTGCTGAGTCGGTGGGGACTCGGGATCACCGCACGGTTTTGGGACTCGGGTCGTTGCTCCGAGGACGCCGCGGGCGACTGGGGGCCTCCGAGGTCGTTGGGGATCTCGAGATCACCACGCGGTCCGTCACCGCACGGTTTTGGGGCCCCGAGCTGAGCCATCCGCCTCTTCTGCCCCCGCCGAGCAGCAGAGCGAGCAGGAGCCCTTACGAAGTGATCGGCGTCCCGGGCGGAGCCTCCAAGGAGGAGGTGCGCAAGAGCTTCCGCAGGCGGGCGCTCACAGAGCACCCCGACGTGAACCCTGGCGACCCCGGCGCCGAGGCGCGGTTCAGCGAGCTGGTCGGCGCCTACAACCAGATCATGGGAGACGAGCTGGTGCCCGACGAGCTCATGTCGAAGAGGACAGCACGGCGCAGGCAGAACTGTTCGGAGTTCCGCGCGGATTCCTCGGACCCGCGCTGGCATCCCCCCTTCCTGTCGTGCGGGGCGCGCCAGGGGCGGCGCCAGAGAGCCGTCGGGGGAGCCGCGTGCCGATCCAAGGAATCCGCGCGGGGCTTCGGCGGTTCACGTTCGGGCCGTTCTTTCTTCCTCCGCTCATGGCGCTGCGGGTCCAGGCCACGAAGCGGTACCGGGACAGCCTGAAGGAGGAGGTGCGGCTGGGCGTCGAGGGCGGCATCATCGGCAGCCCCGCGTCCGTCCTGCCCGCCGTGGTGCTCGTGCTCCTCGCGGGCTTCCTGCTGTGGCTTGCGCAGCAGCCCACCGAGACGTTCGGGCAGATGGGCCTTCTGCCGCCTCGCTACGTAGACTCGAGGAGGGAAGCGCGGCATAGACATAACCTCTCGGAGTTTCGCACGGATTTGCCGCATCGGCCTGGGGCTCCCTGGTTGCGCCTTTTGGCGCCGCTCCCGGCACGCTCCGCGCGCGACAGGGAGGGGCTCAGCGCCGATCCAGGAAATCCGCCGCACGAAGCTCAGACAGTGTATGATTATGCTGCGTTTTGGTCCTCTATGGACGGGCCCCGCAGTTTTCAAGTGACGCCGCGCTGAGGTGATCAGGCTGGTGTCTCCCATCTTCTTCTGCTGCTGCTGTCTTTCGTCCCCGATGTCTGTTCTCGTTCGCACGGTCGTGCTCCCTTTCCCTCCGTGTCTTCTTCGTTCACCTCAGTTTCTGCGTCTCCTCTTGGCTGAACGGTGTTCTACCGCTAGCCCTTCTCATGAACCCTTTTGTTTCTTACCTTCCTGTGGTGGGCTCTCGTTTTGACTAGAGCACTGCTCGCGCGTCTACTCCCCACCGCCTCCCGACTCCTGCCACCTATCTCTTGCTCCGTCTACCTCCTCCTGCATCCTGTGCGCTCCCTCGGGGGCCGCGAATTGTGCAGCTGTCGCCACTTGCGTGGGCTCCTGAGTTGCACGGCGGAGGTGAGGGCAGCGCGGATCCAGGCGAGAGTTCGCGGTTCCGTCGGGGGTTGCGCAGTTGTTGTTAAGTTCATGGTCTCTT